CCGCTCATAATTACAGGGTCAGGCAGTTTGAATAGAAGGCTAACCCATTTCTTTTGTTTAAGAGGAACGTATACCCTACAGGCTAGCTTTACTATGTTTAGCCTCTAGCGACCGTGTGGCTATACTAATGACAGAACTATTTATGCTAGGAGCTAACTCGATGAGTGTTATATACATTTGAAGGGGGGTTGGTTGTAGTGTTATGGCTCCATTTTCATTAGAGTAAAATTGTCCGAGAATCGAGCCGAATTGATTCGCTTTGCTCGGGCTTCGATCCGGCTCGATCCAGCTCGAAGCCGGCTCGATCCGGCCCTAGTGGGAATGGAGCCTAAGTCTAAGGCGCGGATGTATTGTTTTGGGTGTGTTCGTTTCTGTGTGTTTTTATGTGTTCGTATGTGTTTGAAACATTGATGTACGAGTGGGGAGGGGTTACTGCCGAAAACAAAACTGTACACGCAGGTTATAACAAGTTAAGTCCATCTGCGTTGAAACCCCCAACACAGCCAGCGCCATAGCTCAGTGTCTAAATGTTGTCTGCACTGTGGCGTGATTACGATCTGATACACACCATTGTGCTGGTAATATGCTTTCAATAGTACTGTTTTAGTACGTGATAACCCGAAGCAAACGTTAAGTTGTGGATTGTGACCAAAGAAACAAGAAAAAATGTTTTGAAAGGTACGGGTGTCAGAAAGAATTTCATCTGACACTGATTACATTGCTATTGAGCCATTAGCAAGATACAAAACAAACTACCTCACATTTGACATGTTAGCATGAAAGACTTCATACCTTGAAGAATACAATAACGCATTATTGGTTGGGCCACAGCAAGTAAATTTTATGGATGACATCCTTCGCAGACTCCAAATCTAATGCAATAGGGCAAAAACAAAACATGGCGGCCTAAAAAAACAAGATTCCTTCATTTTCAAATTTTGACATCATAAACCTTGTTAAACAACATACGATACTAGTACCTATATTGTGCTAAGTTCATTGCGAACTATTACAACATCCATTTGTCGCCATGACATATACAGTGAAAAAGAAAAGTTTTTAATCATTGTACAAATGATTTTGATTCAGTGGGAACGTTAACATCACATAAAAGGAATGAAATACCTGACTGCATCAAAGTAAAAGACAAAACAATAAATCAGAGCCTTGTCTTGTCTCCTCTCTTCATATTCATCTATCACCCACCTTCCGGCATGACAACAGATATCTTTGCCCATTTTAGGCATGTCAGAAGGCAACAAAATTTCTTGTTTGTTTTTTTCAAAATCAGGCGAAAATTAATGCTCGCATCCATAAAAATTACTTGCTGTGGCCTAATCTTTGATCAGGAATGCACACTTCAGATTTCCAGGTGTTCAAGAAGTTACGTTGAGGAATGGATCATTAATTTGGCATGTCTAAGCTTTTCATTTAAGGAGTGAAGTGAGCATCTACATGACTGATACACAAGAAAAGATGTGAACTGAAAACTGTTTGACCTGTCATTATCTGCTTGACCGAGTCATGATAATGCTACACATTTCTAGAATTCTGCAATGTCTTCTAGTGAATGGTGGCCTAAAGGCGATGAGAGAGCCCTGGACGAAAGAACAACATCTTTTTTTATGTAAAACCATTGACTTGGAGAAGTCTTGAAACTTCAGTCACTTGCATATCACATACGCTCTGTGATCACTTACATTGCATATAATTAGTAATGATTTATGAATTTCCACATATCTTATTCACACGTTCGGATCAGTTTTGCTTGTCTAAATCACAGCACGAAAACAGGCATTTAAGCAAACTTTCCGCAATATGTAAAGAAGTATTAAGGTGAGAAAATATTTCAGTAGACTTTACGACTTCGTAAAGGCTGCTGAAAGGCAAATTCCGCCTTTTCATCACCTTTCAGTGTGCTTAAATACGACGTAAACATTTTTTATATCTTTACGCTTCCTTTACAAATCCGTAAATAATGATTTCATCTGTTAAATGAAGACAGCGTGGCCAGTAGGAGTTATTCTAAAGTCTTCTAAAGTTCTTCTGAAGTCAAACCATCTTACGGCATTCCCCGAAACTCTAGACATTCTTTCATATTGATTGGCTACCCTAGCCTGTTTTTTCGTACTAGTTTGTAGGATGGTAATTATTTCGCGTGAGAGGGGTACATTAGCTTGCTCATTCAAAACTAATCTCTTACGTTAGACACCATCATGCCCTACATGAAAAGTATGCAAGCTAGAACTAAAGCACGGCTTTTAGAGATAACCACTGGCTGGGTGAAAATAAGCCGGTGTTTTCTCCGGTAGACGTGGTAATGTGAGTGGTTGTCACCTCTCTGGAATTACACAACAGCTGGTGAGGGCAGGATGTACTAGTATCACAGACGTTATGTAAGGTTAGCCTCTACCAGGCTTGGGGAAGCGGCTGGAAAGAGTAGAAATCGGCCAAATGGAGAGATAAGCATGCCAAGGGAGTTTGTCCGTTGAGAGAACAGTTCGCCTTGGCATGCTTATCTCTCTATTTGGCCGATTTCTAGATCTACTCTTTCTAGCCGCCTCCCCAAGCCTGGTAGAGGCTAATGTAAGGTGTGATATAAGTGTAAGGCCTTACGCGGTTAGTGTTAATTAGGCCACAGCAAGTAATCTTAATGGATGGCATCGACACGCGCATTAATTTTCGCTTGATTTTGGGAAAAAAACAACAAGAAATTTATGTTCCCTTCTGACAGTGGTCAACATGCCAAAAATGGACAAAGATGTCTGCTGCCATGCCGGAAGGTGGATGGCAGATAACAATAAAGAGAGGAGACAACAAAAGGCTCTGATTTAATGTTTTGTTTCTTACTTTGATGCAGTGATATGTGATGGTGGCTGTGTATGTGTGATGTCCCTACGGAATAAAAACCATTTGTACAATGATTGAGTCAAAATTTTAAAATGTAGGAACCTTGTTTTTTCGGCCCACCTTGTTTTTTTCGCCCACGCGCATTAGATTTGGGGTCCGCGGAGAATGTCATCCATAAAATTTACTTGCTGTGGCCTATAAAGGATAGGATGTAATCCAGATGTTGTATAAGGTGTGGTATTAGTGTAAGGCCTTACGCGGTTAGTGACAATTACAAGGAAACCGAAACGAGCACCCCCAACCGCTAAACACAAATGTTAAGTTATTTTCTAAAAACTCAAACAGCTTAGTCGTAGTTTCTTAATTTGGGCTCTTTCAGTGATTTTTTTTTTTGCGTCCTGTGATATTTCTCACCGTTGAAGATAGTCTCCAAGCAGACACATCGGCCCATTCGGCTGTGTTTTATGGGTCTTTTGTAGCCTTTTTTAGTCTCTAAATTTATCAATTTTTGCCGCACCTCCTTCTAGGAAGAGCCTAAGAGAAAAGTAACAGTTTGAAAGGTGCAGTGGTAGATAGACGTACTAAATGTACTGAAAACAAGTGTAAAACACTAGGTTGAACTCTTACATCATCGTCTCGGAGATTAACTCTATGGTGCAAAGTGTTATCCATTCAAGGGGAACGATTTGACAACAGTGAGGTCATACTCACCATACAAAGTTAAACGTTACGAGCTCAGTGATTTTTTTGCCGCAACAATAATTTATGTCATTTTCAAATCTAGGTATTACAGAATTTATGTCATTTTTAAATCTAGGTATTACAAAATTTGTCATTTTTTAATCTAGGTATTACAAAACAGCTAATTATTTTAACTGTCGTCTATCTGCTATTTTGATGCATGCTATTATTGTCCTTTGGGTCAAGACATCAAAATAGCAGATACCAAAATAGCACATACAGCAATGTTTGGAATGTCTAAAATACGGTAAAATAAGCCTTTAGTGAAGAAAAGTAGTTCAGACCAAATTTGCAGTCCTCGAAAGTCAACTATATTTGCCCCCCTCCCCAAGATGGCTACTTTCTGTCATTAGATTTATGTAAAACGTATTGCCTCTGGGCATTTACGTCAGACCAAGTCAGAATATGTATGGCCAGTAATAGTGGGGCTCTTTTCTCTTAGGTTATGAAATACGCTGCACTGTTTAATATGTGTAGTACATAAAGTACAATATATAATAGCAAGCCTTGTCCTCTTGCTAAAAGTAACAACAAAAAAACTTTGGCGTTCGTGTACAGGACAAACATTCAAACTTCAAACAGCCGCTTTGTAATAATCATTCCACGATCTGGAGCAACAATGGGACATAATTAGATAATTAGATTGACCTGTCCCCCGCTGCGATACTGACATACAGAACAGGTGTCTGTTCTACATATGTATCTGTATAGCCGGTATAACCGCCTTTTGGCGTAACACACCAGCTTCGCAGGCCCGCGGCGTGGCGGCAGCTGGCTACATTACACCGATCGACTTGTTACACCTAACCTTTGAACATCTAACTCTAGACATTGTTGAAAGCTATCTAATGACAATGCCCCTACAGTACTTGATGACAGGAGTTCCACTCTGCGATAGTTCTAGAAAAAAATGAATTCTTGAACGCCTCAATCCGTGGTTGATAACTCTACTGGTACTTGAAGGCATGGCAATGTCTTGTTCTCTTCTTGGCTGGTATTAGGTACTTAGTAGTTGGGACGTCCACCAGTTTATTAGTCATTTTGTACATCATGCATATTCTGGACATTTCTTCTGTTGATCACACAAATTCCCCATTCTTGTGATGAGGTATGGTTTAAAAAAACAATTCCAAAAATAACGAAAGCTTTTCAGAAATAAGTATCATGTACCATTATAGCTGCCTGTTCTTTTCATTGTTGTCTTGAATTACGTTTCACGAGGTCAAAACACCGGATGGGGGGTATGTAGAAATTCAGTTGTGTAATATCCGGCCGATGATATTGCATAATACAGCCCCTTCCACAGTTCCAATACATATTCACGAAAACCCCAAAACAATTCCAAGGAGTCTAATATCTCAGCATTCCTGTTGCCATGCATTCTTGTCTCGAAATCTTCCATTTATTAATTTACTAACTTATTTTCATGTTTAGGTCGCACCGCCCAGTCTGGGCAAAGTCACCACACAGAACCAAGCGAACTGACAATGAGGCAAGAGTTGCAGAGTCTTCTCAGACTAAAAAGAAACGACGAGTATGAAGAAGAAAGCACAGACACAGCGCCTACAACAATGAGAATACAAACTCTGTCGTCACCAACAGAAACATTGGCAGAATCAAAAAGTACACAAAACCGTCTGCAAAGCAGCACGGATGTGACATACTCATCTAGTCAGACTAGTGCATTCAATGCAGTTGTTGAAGAAAGTGAACGAACTACAACATCATCATTTTCTACAACGAGGTCCAGACAAACATTGTTGGAATCTTTGCAAACGATGAATGATTTGTCAACAGCGTTTGACGGCGTGGGAAGGACGTTTGCAACAACCATACCTCAAAGTACAGATAGGGCCACAAATACAGACCAAAGAACTAGTTCGTCAACCACAAACGATGTTGTAACTGAGTCTCGCTTTGTGGAAGCCAAGACTCAAAATATGGGAGATACAGAGGAGTCTACAGTGATGGGAACGACGGTAATTCCTACAATTTTTGAGAAGACCGAGGAGTCAAAAAGCAGAGCAACCAATGAGGAAACTACTTATGGTACAAGTCCAGTACTTCCAACAACACTGGAGCCAACGAGAGAAGGTAAGATTAACATTAACATTCATCATCATCATTAACATTAACATCCAGTAACTAAACGTGAGTCGACAAAGATCTACCTATGTTCAACGATACTTGATTTACTGTTTTCAATTTTTGTGTTATGATGATTTATGCTCTAATTCTTAGCAATCGTGAATACGTTTCCCAAGTCACATATAAGCTCACTACTACAACCATAGGGCAGTCTACTACTGCTGCTGTATCTACAATCAAACCATCAACTATTTATGACACAACGACGGGACTGACAACAACGACGGGACTGACAACAGACATTACAACATCCCTAGTCACAGATCAGGTCACTAGTACAACAATAGGGCAGTCTACTACTGCTGCTGTATCTACAATCCAACCATCAACTATTTATGACACAACGACGGGACTGACAACAGAAATTACATCTCACGGAACTTCAGCATTGTCAACACAATCTTCAACAGATTCATCCACAACTGAAGAGCAAACGACAGCTCTGATTAGCACAAAACCGTCCACTACAGACTCTGACACGACGGTGATAAATACAGAAGAACCGAGTACTTCAAATAGAGTTTCAACTTTGGAGATGTCCACTGCAATTCCAACAACAGAACATCTTTTCACTACTTTTGAAACGACAACAGCAGTATCCACAACTGAAGAGCAAACGCCTTCTTTGAGTACCACAGAATCATCAACTATTCACGCTGACACGACGGTGCGTAGTACTGAAGAACCGACTACTTCGGACCGACTTTCAACAGTGGAATCATCCACAAAGTCATTATCTACTGTGCAGATAACGACGGCATTTCCCACAACAGAGCATCTTTTCACTACTTTTGAAACAACAACGAAATCATCCACAACTGAAGAGCAAACGACGGCTGTGTCAACCACTGAACCATCAACTACAGACGCTGACACGACTACTTCGGACGGAGTTTCAACAGTGAGGCAATCCACAGGGTCACCATATACAGTACAGGCGTCGACGGAGTTTCCCACAACCGTACGTCCTTCCAGGACGTTTAAAACAACATCATTCACAACTGAAGACCAAACAACGGCTGAAACAGCCACTGAATCGTCAACTACGGACTCTGACACAACCGTACTTAGTACAGAAGAACCGACTACTTCGGACGGAGTTTCAACAGTGGAATCATCCACACAGTCATTATCTACTGTGCAGGGTCGGACAGCGAATCCCACAACAGAACAGCCTTTCAGTACTTTTGAAACTACAACAGCCGTATCTACAACTGAAGAGCAAACGACGGCTGGGACAACCAATGAATCGTTAACTACAGACACTGACACAACCGTTCTTAGTACAGAAGAACCGACTACTTCGGACCAAGTTTCAACAGTGGAATCATCCACACAGTCATTATCTACTGTGCTGGGGTCGACAGCGAATCCCACCACAGAACAGCCTTTCACTACGTTTGAAACTACAACAGCAGTATCTTCAAATGAAGGACAAACGACGGTTGTAACAACCACTGAATCGTCAACTACAGACTTTGACACAACCGTACTTAGTACAGAAGAACCGACTACTTCTGCCGGAGTTTCAACAGTGGGATCATCCACACAGTCATTATCTACTGTGCAGGGGTCATCAGCAACTCCCAGCACAGAACAGCCTTTCACTACCTTCAAACCGACATCCTTACTTTCGACAACTGAAGAGCAAACCACGACTGTAGTTACCACTAAACCGTCATCTACAGTCGTCTACACGTTGATGAATACAGAGGAACCGACTACTACGGCATTTCCCACAACAGAACATCCTCTCACAACAGTTGAGTCGACAACAGTACTATCCACAACTGAAGAACAAACAGTAGCTGTGGCAACCACTGAGCCGTCAACTACAGACTTTGACACGACGGTGCTTAGTACAGAAGAACCGACTACAACGACCGTATCTACAACTGAAGAGCAAACGACGGCTGCGACAACCACTGGCTCGTCAACTACAGCCTCTGACACAACCGTGCTTAGTACAGTAGAACCGACTAATTCGGACCGAGTTTCTACAGTACAATCATCCACACAGTCATTATCTACTGTGCAGGGTCCGACAGCGAATCCCACAACAGAACAGCCTTTCAGTACTTTTGAAACTACAACAGCAGTATCTACAACTGAAGGGCAAACGACGGCTGTAACAACCACTGAATCGTCAACTACAGACTTTGACACAACCGTACTTAGTACAGAAGAACCGACTACTTCTGCCGGAGTTTCAACAGTGGGATCATCCACACAGTCATTATCTACTGTGCAAGGGTCGACTGCAAGTCCCACTACGGAGCATTCTTCCACTACCTTTGAACCGACATCCTTACTTTCGACAACTGAAGAGAAAACTACGGCTGTGATTACCACAAAACCGTCATCTACAATCGTCCACACGGTTTTAAATACAGAGGAACCGACTACTACGGCATTTACCACAACACAACATCCTCTTACAACAGTTAAGTCGACAACAGTACTATCCACAACTGAAGAACAAACAGTACCTGTGACAACCACTGAGCCGTCAACTACAGACTCTGACACGACAGTACTTAGTACAGAAGAACCGACTACTTCGGACCGAGTTTCAACAGTGGGGACATCCACACAGTCATCATCTACCGTGCAAGGTCCGACAGCGAATCCCACAACAGAACAGCCTTTCACTACGTTTGAAACCACAACAGCAGTATCTACAACTGAAGAGCAAACCACGGCTGGGACAACCACTGAATCGTTAACTACAGACGCTGACACAACCGTACTTAATACAGAAGAACCGACTACGTCGGACGGAATTTCGACAGTGGAATCAACCACACAATCATCATCTACTATGCAGGGGTCGACAGCAACTCCCACAACAGAACAGCCTTTCACTACCTTCAAACCGACATCCTTACTTTCGACAACTGAAGAGCAAACCACGACTGTAGTTACCACTAAACCGTCATCTACAGTCGTCCACACGGTGATGAATACAGAGGAACCGACTACTACGGCATTTACCACAACACAACATCCTCTCACAACAGTTGAGTCGACAACAGTACTATCCACAACTGAAGAACAAACAGTACCTGTGACCACCACTGAAGTGCCAACTACAGACTCTGACACAACCGTGCTTAGTACAGAAGAACCGACTACATCGGGCAGAATTTCAACAGTGGGGTCATCCACACAGTCATTATCTACTGTGCAGGGGTCGACAGCAACTCCCACAACAGAACATCCTTTCAGTACCTTCAAACCGACATCCTTACTTTCGACAACTGAAGAGCAAACTACTGACGTAATTACCACAAAACCGTCAACTACAGAAGAACCGTCGACTACGGCATTTCCCACAACAGAACGTCGTCTCACAATCTTTGAGTCGACAACAGTACTATCCACAACTAAAGAACAAACAATAGCTGTGACATCCACAGAGCTGTCAACTACAGACTCTGATACGACGGTGCTTGATACAGAAGAACCGACTACTTTGGACCGAGTTTCAACAATACAATCATCCACACAGTCATTATCTACTAAGCAGGGTTCGACATCGAATCCCACAACAGAACAGCCTTTCACTACTTTTGAAACTACAACAGCACTATCAACAACTGAAGAGCAAACAACGGATATGTCAACCACTGAACCATCAACTACAGACTCTGACACAACCGTGCTTAATACAGAAGAACGGACTACTTCCGAAGGAGTTTCAACCCTGAGGCCATCCACACAGGCGTGGACTGCATTTTCCACAACCAAGCGTCCTTTTAGTACTTTTGAAACAACAACGGAACTATCTACAACAGAGGAGAAAACAACGACGTTGACAACCACAAAACCCTCAACAACTACAGACTCTTTCACAACGGTGCTTAAGACTGAAAAACCGACTTCTTTGGACGGAGTTTCGACAATTGGAACATCCACAGAATCATCAACCACTGTGCAGTGGTCGACTTCGTTTCCTACAACAGAACATCCTTTTACTACTTCTGAAACGACAAGAGCACTATCTACAAATGCTGTGGCAACCACCGAACAGTCAACTACGATGTTTGACACGACGGAGGTTAAAACAGAAGTGCCAACTATGATAATGCAAACAACGGAGGGAGAAACTACAATGCTGAGTACAGATGTTACATCTACAGCAACTTCAACAGGAGTCTCAACACTAACCTCAACAACGACAGAAACTACAAAACCCAGAACAACGGCGGAAAATTCAGAGGCCCCAACCGCATTAGAAGTTACAACGGAAAAAATCTCGACGACAGCAGAAACTACACGCCGTGCAATAACGGTAAAATCTACAGAGATTCAAACAACAGCAAAAACTACGCAGGCTACATCTACGATGGAAAATACACGGGCTCCAACCGAAATAGAAATTACAACGGAGAAAACTACACAGTCTCCCACAACAGCAGAAACTACAAATTCTCCAACAACGGTTACAACTACCCCGGTTTTACCAATTACTACAAAGCATTTGACAACTACGCAGCCTTCAACAACAACCCAACCTATCACAACAGTGGGGACTACACAGGCTCAAACAACAACTACACAACCTATCACAACGGCGGGAACTACAAATAGTCCAACAACACCAGCAGAGACCACACAGCCTCCAACAGTGGTCGAAACTAGAGATACAACATTAGTAATAACTACACCATCGCCATCAACGGCCAAAACAACGCAGTCATCATCAACAATGAAAACTGCAGCCTCTACGACCACACAAGTTCCAACTACAGGAGAAACTACACTTGATACAACAACAACATTGGAAACTACACAGGCCCCAACCACAGTAGAAAGTACACAGACTAAGACAACGGCAAAAACTACTAGGACAACAACAACATTGGAAATTACAACGGAGAAAACTACACACCCTGTAACAAAAGTAAAATCTACACAGACTCCAACAACGTTAAAATCTACACAGATTCCAACAACGGTAAAATCTACACAGACTCCAACAATAACAAAAACTACTCAACCCATAACAACGATGGAAAATGCAAATGCTCCTACCCAAATGGAAATTACATCGGAGAAAACTACACAGTATCATACAACAGCAGAAACTACACATCCTCTAACAACGGTTCAATCTACCCCGGTTATATCAACTACTACGAACCAGCCTTCTACCTCAGTACAAACAACCCAACGTATCCCAACAGTGAAAACTACACGGGCTGCAACTACAACTACACAACCAATCACAACAATGAAAACTACACAGGCTGCAACTACAACTGCGCGGCCTATCACAACATTGGGAACTATACAGGCTGCAACTACAACACAACCTATCACAACGGTGGTAACTACACAGACTGCAACTACAACTACAAAACCTATCACAACAGTGGGAACTACACAGGCTGTAACAACAACACAACCTATCACAACGGCGGGAACTACAAATAGTCCAACAACACCAGCAGAGACCACACAGCCTCCAACAGTGGTCGAAACTAGAGATACAACTTTAGTAATAACTACGCCATCGCCATCAACGGCCAAAACAACGCAGTCACCATCTACAATTAAAACTACAGCCTCTGCGACCACACAAGCTCCAACTACAGGAGAAACTACACTTGATACAACAACAACATTGGAAACTACACAGGCCCTAACCACAGCAGAAAGTACACAGCCTAAGACAACGGCAAAAACTACCAGGACTACAAGCACATTGGAAATTACAACGGAGAAAACTACACACCCTGTAACAACAGTAAAATCTACAAAGACTCCAACAACGGTAAAACCTACACAGATTCCAACAACGGTAAAATCTACACGAACTCTAACAACGGCTAAATCTATACAGACTCCAACGACAACAAAAACTACCCAATCCATAACAACGATGGGAAATACAAATGCTCCTACCCGAAAGGAAATTACAACGGAGAAAACTACAGAGTATCATACAACAGCAGAAACTACACATCCTCTAACAACGGTTCAATCTACCCCGGTTTCATCAACTACTACGAACCAGCCTTCTACCTCAGTACAAACAACCCAACGTATCCCAACAGTGAAAACTACACGGGCTTCAATTACAACTTCACAACCTATCACAACAATGAAAACTACACAGGCTGCAACTACAACTGCGCAGCCTATCACAACATTGGGAACTACACAGGCTGCAACTACAACTGCACAACCTATCACAACAGAGAAAACTACACAGGCTGCAACTACAACACAACCTATCACAACAGTGGGAACTACACAGGCTGCAACTACAACTACACAACCTATCACAACAGTGGGAACTACAAATAGTCCAACAACACCAGCAGAGACCACACAGCCTCCAACAGTGGTCGAAACTAGAGACACAACATTAGTAATAACTACACCATCGCCATCAACGGCCAAAACAACGCAGTCACCATCTACAATGAAAACTACAGCCTCTACGACTGCACAAGTTCCAACTACAGGAGAAACTACACTTGATACAACAACAACATTGGAAACTACTCAGGCCCCAACCACAGTAGAAAGTACACAGCCTAAGACAACGGCAAAAGCTACTTGGACAACAACAACATTGGAAATTACAACGGAGAAAACTACACACCCTGTAACAACAGTAAAATCTACAAAGACTCCAACAACGGTAAAACCTACACAGATTCCAACAACGGTAAAATCTACACGAACTCTAACAACGGCTAAATCTACACAGACTCCAACAACAACAAAAACTACCCAACCCATAACAACGATGGGAAATACAAATGCTCCTACCCGAATGGAAATTACAACGGAGAAAACTACACAGTATCATACAACAGCAGAAACTACACATCCTCTAACAACGGTTCAATCTACCCCGGTTTCATCAACTACTACGAACCAGCCTATCACAACAGTGGGAACAACACAGGATGCAACTACAACTGCACAACCTATTACAACAGAGAAAACTACACAGGCTGAAACTACAACACAACCTATCACAACAGTGGGAACTACACAGGCTGTAACAACAACACAACCTATCACAACGGCGGGAACTACAAGGCTGCAACTACAACTGCACAACCTATCACAACAGTAAAACAACACAGGTTCCAACTACAACTACACAACCTATCACAACAGTGGGAACTACACAGGCTGCAACTACAACACAACCTATCACAACAGTGGGAACTACACAGGCTGAAACTACAACTACACAACCTATCACAACAGTGGGAACTACACAGGCTGTAACAACAACACAACCTATCACAACGGCGGGAACTACAAACAGTCCAACAACACCAGCGGAGACCACACAGCCTCCAACAGTGGTCGAAACTAGAGATACAACATTAGTAATAACTACACCATCGCCATCAACGGCCAAAACAACGCAGTCACCATCTACAATGAAAACTACAGCCTCTACGACCACACAAGTTCCAACTACAGGAGAAACTACACTTGATACAACAACAACATTGGAAACTACACAGGCCCTAACCACAAAAGAAAGTACACAGCCTAAGACAACGGCAAAAATTACAAGGACTACAACCACATTGGAAATTACAACTACACACCCTGTAACAACAGTAAAATCTACACAGACTCCAACAACGGTAAAATCTACACAGATTCCAACAACGGTAAAAGCTACACAGATTCCAACAACGGTAAAATCTACACGAACTCTAACAACGGCTAAATCTACACAGACTCCAACAACAACAAAAACTACCCAACCCATAACAACGATGGGAAATACAAATGCTCCTACCCGAATGGAAATTACAACGGAGAAAACTACACAGTATCATACAACAGCAGAAACTACACATCCTCTAACAACGGTTCAATCTACCCCGGTTTCATCAACTACTACGAACCAGCCTTCTACCTCAGTAGAGACAACCCAACGTATCCCAACAGTGAAAACTACACAGGCTGCAATTACAACTACACAACCTATCACAACAGTGGGAACAACGCGGCCTGCAACTACAACTGCACAACCTATCCCAACAGTAGGAACTACACAGGCTGCAACTACAACTACACAACCTATCACAACAGTGAAAACTACACAGGCTGAAACTACAACACAACCTATCACAACAGTGGGAACTACACAGGCTCCAACTACAACTACACAACCTATCACAACGGCGGGAACTACAAATAGTCCAACAACACCAGCAGAGACCACACAGCCTCCAACAGTGGTCGAAACTAGAGATACAACATTAGTAATAACTACACCATCGCCATCAACGGCCAAAACAACGCAGTCACCATCTACAATGAAAACTACAGCCTCTACGACCACACAAGTTCCAACTACAGGAGAAACTACACTTGATACAACAACAACGTTGGAAACTACACAGGCCCTAACCACAGTAGAAAGCACACAGCCTAAGACAACGGCAAAAACTACAAGGACAACAACAACATTGGAAATTACAACGGAGAAAACTACACACCCTGTAACAACAGTAAAATCTACACGAGGTCCAACAACGGCTAAATCTACACAGACTCCAAGAACAACAAAAACTACCCAACAAATAACAACGATGGGAAATACAAATGCTCCTACTCGGATGGAAATTACAACGGAGAAAACTACAGAGTATCATACAACAGCAGAAACTACACATCCTCTAACAACGGTTCAATCTACCCCGGTTTCATCAACTACTACGAACCAGCCTTCTACCTCAGTTGAAGCAACCCAGGGTATCCCAACAGTGAAAACTACACAGGGTGAAATTACAACTTCACAACCTATCACAACAGTCAAAACTACACAGGCTGCAACTACAACTACACAACCTATCACAACAGTGAAAACTACTGCAACTACAACTGCACAACCTATCACAACATTGGGAACTACAAAGGCTGCAACAACATTACCTTTAGCGACAACAGAGCAAACCATTGCCTCCTCATCCTTCACAGTATCGACGACGACTGCAGACCAATCGACTTCAGGCAACCCTACGCAGCTCACCACTACCTTGGCTACATCAAAGCAACCCACTACAGCGACAACCATTGAAGGATCTACAACCGCAGCACCAACTCCTCTTGAAACTACACAGACAATGACTACAACACTGACTACAGAATCGGAGATGACAACCAACCCTTCAACAATGGAGCCAACGAGAGAAGGTAAGATTAAAATAAGTCCAGTAGCTAATCATCAGTCGACAAAGATCTACCTACTAGTATATACAACGATACTTGATTTACTGTTTTCAATTTTTGTGTTATGCTGATTCATGCTTTAATTCTTAGTAATCGGGAATACGTTTCCCAAGTCACAGATCAGGTCACTAGTACAACCATAGGGCAGTCTACTACTGCTGCTGTATCTACAATCAAACCATCAACTATTTATGGCACAACGACGGGACTGACAACAACGACGGGACTGACAACAGAAATTACATCTCACGGAACTTCAGCATTGTCAACACAATCTTCAACAGTTTCATCCACAACTGAAGAGCAAACGACAGCTCTGATTAGCACAAAACCGTCCACTACAGACTCTAACACGACGGTGCTCAATACAGAAGAACTGAGTACTTCAAACAGAGTTTCAACGGGGAGGCCATCTACACAGCCATCTTCAACTTTGGAGATGACCACTGCAATTCCAACAACAGAACATCTTTTAACTACTTTTGAAACAACAACGGCACCACCCACAGCTGAAGAGCAAACGACTTCTCTGAGTACCACAGAACAATCAACTATTCACGCTGACACGACGGTGCTGAGTACTGAAGAACCGACTGATTTTCCTACAACTGAACATCATTTCACTACTTTTGAAACAACAACAGCCATCTCTATGACTCAAGAGCAAACAACGGCTGTGATTTCCACAAAACCGTCATCTACAGACTCTGACACGACGGTGATTAATACAGAAGAACCGACTACTTCTAACGGAGTTTCAACAGTGGGGTCATCCACAGAGTCACCATCTACCGTGCAGGTAACGACGGCATTTCCCACAACAGAGCATCTTTACACTACTTTTGAAACAACAACAAAGTCATCCACAACTACAGAGCAAACGACCGCTGTGTCAACCACTGAACCATCAACTACAGACTCTGACACGACTACGTCGGACGGAGTTTCAACAGTGAGGCAATCCACAGGGTCACCATCTACAGTACAGGCGTCTACGGAGTTTCCCACAACCGAACGTCCTTCCAGTACGTTTAAAACAACATCATTCACAACCGAAGACCAAACAACGGGTGTGTCCACCACGGCACCTTCAACTACAGACTCTGACACGACGGTACTTAATACAGAAGAACCGACTACTTCGGACGGAGTTTCAACAGTGGGGACATCCACACAGTCATCATCTACTGTGCAGTGGTCGACAGCGAATCCCACAACAGAACAGCCTTTCACTACCTTTGAAACTACAACAGCCGTATCTACAACTGAACAGCAAACGTCGACTGTGACAACCACTGAATCGGTAACTACAGACTCTGACACGACCGTGCTTAGTACAGAAGAACCGACTACTTCGGACGGAATTTCGACAGTGGAATCAACCACACAGTCATTATCTACTGTACAGGGGACGGAAGCAACTCACACAACAGAGCAACCTTTCACTACTTATAAACCGACATCCTTACTTTCGACAACTGAAGAGCAAACTACTGATGTAATCACCACAAAACCGTCAACTACAGAAGAACCGTCTACTGCGGCATTTTCCACAACAGAACGTCCTTTTCACAATCTTTGAGTCGACAACAGCACTATCCGCAACTGAAGAACAAACAGTAGCTGTGACAACCACTGAGCCGCCAACTACAGACTCTGACACGACGGTGCTTAGTACAGAAGAGCCGACTCCTGCCAGAGTTTCAACAATACAATCATCCACACAGTCATTATCTACTGTGCAGGGTTCGACAGCGAATCCCACAACAGAACAGCCTTACACTACTTTTAAAACTACAACAGCAGTATCTACAACTAAAGAGCAAACGTCGGCTGGGGCAACCACTGAATCGTTAACTACAGACGCTGACACAACCTTGCTTAGTACAGAAGAACCGACTACTTCGGACCGAATTTCAACAGTGGAATCATCCACACAGTCATTATCTACTGTGCAGGGGTCGACAGCAACTCCCACAACAGAACATTCTTTCACTACCTTCGAACCGACATCCTTACTTTCGACAACTGAAGAGCAAACTACTGATGTAATTACCACTAAACCGTCAACTACAGAAGAACCGTCTACTACGGCATTTCGCACAACAGAACGTCCTCTCACAATCTTTGAGTCGACAACAGCACTATCCTCAACTGAAGAGCAAACAATAGGTGTAACAACCACAGAGCCGTCAACTACAGACTCTGACACGACGGTGCTTAGTACAGAAGAACCGACTACTTCGGACGGAGTTTCAACAATACAATCATCCACACAGTCATTATCCACTGTGCAGGGATCGACAGCGAATCCCACAACAGAACAGCCTTTAACTACTTTTGAAACTACAACAGCCGTATCTACAACTGAAGAGCAAACGACGGCTGTAACAACCACTGAATCGTTAACTACAGACGCTGACACAATCGTGCTTAGTACAGAAGAACAGACTACGTCGGACCGAGTTTCAACAGTGGAATCATCCACACAGTCATTACCTACTGTGCAGGGGACTTCAGCAACTCCCACTACGGAGCAGCCTTTCACTACCTTTGAACCGACATCATTATTTTCGACAACTGAAGAGCAAACTACTGATGTAATTACCACTAAACCGTCGACTACAAAAGAACAGTCTACTACGGCATTTTCCACAACAGAACGTCCTCTTACAATCTTTGAGTCGACAACAGTACTATCCGCAACTGAAGAACAAACAATAGGTGTGACATCCACAGAGCGGTCAACTACAGACTCTGACACGACGGTGCTTAGTACAGAAGAACCGACTACTTCGGACGGAGTTTCAACAATACAATCATCCACACAGTCATTATCTACTGTACAGGGGTCGACAGCGAATCCCACAACTGAACAGCCTTTCACTACTTTTGAAACTGCAACAGCCGTATCTACAACTGAAGAGCAAACGACGGCTGGGGCAACCACTGAAGTGTTAACTACAGACACTGACACAACCGTACTTAATACAGAAGAACCGACTACTTCGGACAGAATTTCAACAGTGGGGTCAACCACACAGTCATTATCTACTATGCAGGGATCGACAGCGAATCCCACAACAGAACACCCTTTCACTACTTTTGAAACGACAACAGCACTATCTACAACTGAAGGGCAAACAACGAATATGTCAACCACTGAACCATCAACTACAGACTCTGACACAACCGTGCTTAGTACAAAAGAACCGACTACTTCAGAAGGAGTGTCAACCATGAGGCCATCCACACAGACGTTGACTGCATTTTCCACAACCAAGCGTCCTTTTAGTACTTTTGAAACAACAACGGAACTATCTACAACAGAGGAGAAACGACATTGACAACCTCAAAACCCTCAACAACTACAGACTCTTTCACAACGGTGCTTAAGACTGAAAAACCGACTACTTTGGACGGAGTTTCAACAATTGGAACCTCCACAGAATCATCAACCACTGTGCAGGGGTCGACTTCGTTTCCTACAACAGAACAACCTTTCACTACTTCTGAAACGACAACAGCACTATCTACAAATGCTGTGGCAACCACTGAACAGTCAACTACGATGTTTGACACGACGAAGGTTGAAACAGAAGTGCCAACTACGATAATGCAAACAACGGAGGGAGAAACTACGATGCTGAGTACAGATGTTACATCTTCAGCAAGTTCAACAGGGGTCTCAACAACGACGGAAACTACAAAACCCAGAACAACGGCGGAAAATACAGAGGCCCCAACCGCATTAGAAGTTACAACGGAAAAAATCTCGACGACAGCAGGAACTACACGCCCTGCAACAACGGTAAAATCTACAGAGATTCAAACAACAGCAAAAACTACACAGGCTACAACTACAATGGGACATACACAGGTTCCAACCGAAATAGTAATTACAACGGAGGAAACTACACAGTCTCCCACAACAGCAGAAACTACACATTCTCCAACAACGGTTACATCTACCCCGGTTTTACCAACTACTACAAAGCATTTGACAACTACACAGCCTTCAACAACAACCCAACCTCTCACAACAGTGGGGACTACACAGGCTCCAATAACAACTACACAACCTATCACAACGGTGGGAACTACACAGGCTGCATCTACAACACAACCTGTCACTACAGTGGGGACTACACAGGCTCCAACAACAACTACACAGCCTATCACAACGGTGGGGACTACAAATAGTCCAACAACATTAGCAGAGACCACACAGCCTCCAACAGTGGTCGAAACTAGAGATACAACATCGGTGAAAACTACACCGTCGCCATCAACAGTCAAAACCACGCAGTCGCCATCAACAATGAAAACTACAGCCTCTACAACGACAATGACAACCACACAAACTCCAACTATAGAAGAAACTACACTGCTTGCAACAACGGTGGATACTACACGGGCCCTAACCACATCAGAAACTACACAGCCTAAGACAACGGCAACATCTACAATGACTACAACCAGAATGAAAATTACAACGGGCAGAACTACACAGTCTCCATCGACATCAGAAACAACACGTCCTGTGACAATGGTTAGGTCTACACAGACTCCAACAACAGCTGAATCTACACAGACTCCAACAACAACAGAAACTATTCAACCCATAACAACGATGGGAAATACAAATGCTCCTACCCGAATGGAAATTACAACGGAGAAAACTACACAGTACCATACAACAGCAGAAACTACACATCATCTAACAACGGTTCAATCTACCCCGGTTTCATCAACTACTACGAACCAGCCTATCACAACAGTGGGAACTACACAGGCTGCAATTACAACTGCACAACCTATCACAACAATGGGAACTACACAGGCTGCAACTACAACACAACCTATCACAACGGTGGTAACAACACTGGCTCCAACCACAGCGGCAGAGACCACACAGCCTCCAACAGTGGTCGAAACTAGAGATACAACATTAGTAATAACTACACCATCGCCATCAACGGCCAAAACAACGCAGTCACCATCTACAATTAAAACTACAACCTCTGCGACCACACAAGTTCCAACTACAGGAGAAACTACACTTGATACAACAACAACATTGGAAACTACACAGGTCATAACCACAGCAGAAAGTTCACAGCCTAAGACAACGGCAAAAACTACCAGGACTACAACCACATTGGAAATTACAACGGAGAAAACTACACACCCTGTAACAACAATAAAATCTACACAGACTCCAACAACGGTAAAATCTACACAGATTCCAACAACGGTCAAATCTACACCAACTCCAACAACGGCTAAATCTACACAGACTCCAACAACAACAAAAACGACCCAACCCATAACAACGATGGGAAATACAAATGCTCCTACCCGAATGGAAATTACAACGGAGAAAACTACACAGTATCATACAACAACAGAAACTACACATCCTCTAACAACGGTTCAATCTACACCGGTTTCATCAACTACTACGAATCAGCCTTCTACCTCAATAAAAACAACCCAACGTATCCCAACAGTGAAAACTACACAGGCTACAACTACAACACAACCTATCACAACAGTGGGAACTACACAGGCTGCAACTACAACTACACAACCTATCACAACGGTGGTAACTACACAGGCTGCAACTACAACTACACAACCTATCACAACAATGAAAACTACTCAGGCTGCAACTACAACACAACCTATCACAACGGTGGTAACAACACTGGCTCCAACCACAGCGGCAGAGACCACACAGCCTCCAACAGTGGTCGAAACAAGAGATACAACATTGGTAAGAACTACACCATCGCCATCAACAGCCAAAACCACACAGGCACCATCTACAATAGAAACTACAGCGTCTACAACAACAACGAAAACCACACAAACTACAGCAAAAACTACACTGCTTACAACGACTCGGGGAACTTCACAGGCCCTGACCACAGCAGAAAGTACAGAGCCTAAAACAACGCCAATAACTACAATGGCTACAACCACATCCGAAATTACAACGGATAAATCGACGCAGTCCCCAACGACAGCAGAAACTACACGTCCTGTAACTATGGCTAAATCTACACAGACTTCAACAATGTTAAAATCTACACAAATTCCAACAACTGTAGAATCTACACTGACTCCAACAACGGTGAAATCTACGCAGACTCCAACAACGACAGAAGCTACACAACCCAAAATAACGGCGGGAAATACCCAGGCCCCAACCGCATTAAAAACTACAACGGAGAAAACCTCGACAACAACAGAAACTACGCGCTCTGAAACAACGATAAAATCTACACAGATTCAAACAACAGCAAAAACTACACAGGCTACGACTACGCTGGAAAATACACAGGCTCCGACCCAAACAGGACTTACAACGGACAAAACTACACATTCTTCCACGACAGCAGAAACGACTCATCATCCAACAGCGGTTACATCTACACCGGTTTTATCAACTACTACAACGCATTTGACAACTATACAGCCTTCAACAACACGTCAACCTATCACAACAGTGGGAACTGCACAGGCTCCAACAACAACAATACAACCTATTACAACGGTGGGGACTACAAATAGTCCAACAACAGCGGCAGAGACCACACAGCCTCCAACAGTGGTCGAAACTAGAGATACAACATTAGTAATAACTACACCATCGCCATCAACGACCAAAACAACGCAGTCACCATCTACAATGAAAACTACAGCCTCTACAACAACAATGAAACCCACACAAGCTCCAACTACAGCAGAAACTACACTGCTTACAACAACAGTGGAAACTACACGGGCCCTTACTACAGCAGAAAGTACACAACCTAAGACAACGGCAAAAACTACGAGGACTACAACTACAATGGAAATTACAACGGAGAAAACTACCCAGTCCCCATCGACAGCAAAACCTTCATATCCTGTAACAACGGCTATGCCTACACAGACTCCTACAACGGTAATGTCTACACTGACTCCAACAACTACAGAAACTACACAACCCATAACAACGGTGGGAAATACACAAGCCCCAACCCAAATGAAAATTAAAACGGAGAAAACTACACAGTATCATACAACAGCAGAAACTACACATCCTGTAACAACGGTTAAATCTACCTCGGTTTTATCAACCACTACGAAGCAGCCTTCTACCTCAGTAGAAACAACCCAACCTATCACAACGTTCGGAACTTCACAGGCTACAACTACAACTGCAAAACGTATCACAACGATGGAACCAACACAGGCTGCAACTACAACTACACAACCTATCACAACAGTGGGAACTACACAGGCTGCAACTACAACTACACAACCTATCACAACAGTGGGAACTACACAGGCTGCAACTACAACACAACCTATCACAACGGTGGTAACAAAACTGGCTCCAACCACAGCGGCAGAGACCACACAGCCTCCAACAGTGGTCGAAACTAGAGATACAACATTGGTAAGAACTACACCATCGCCATCAACGGCCAAAACAACGCAGTCACCGTCTGCAATGAAAACTACAGCCTCTACAACAACGATGAAAACTACACAAGTTCCAACTACAGCAGAAACTACACTCCTTACAACAACAGTGGAAACTACGCGGGCCCTAACCACAGCAGAAAGTACACAGCCTAAAACAACGGCAAAAACTACCAGGACTACAACCACATTGGAAATTACAACGGAGAAAACTACACACCCTGAAACAACAGTAAAATCTACACAGACTCCAACAACGGTAAAATCTACACGGATTCCAACAACGGATAAGTCTACACGAACTCCAACAACGGTAAAATCTACACAGCCTTCTACCTCAATAGAAGCAACCCAACGTATTCCAACAGTAAAAACTACACAGTCTGCAACTACAACTGCACAACCTATCACAACAGTGGGAACTACACAGGCTTGCAACTACAACTGCACAGCCTATTACAACAGTGGGAACTACACAGGCTGCAACTACAACTGCACAACCTATCACAACAGTGGGAACTACACAGGCTGCAACTACAACACAACCTATTACAACGGTGGTAACAACACTGGCTCCAACCACAGCGGCAGAGACCACACAGCCTCCAACAGTGGTCGAAACTAGAGATACAACATTGGTAATAACTACACCGTCGCCATCGACAATGGATAAAACTACGGAGACACCATCCACGATGGAGACTACAGCCTCTACAACAAGAGTAAAAACTACCAAATCTACAACTATGGAGAAATCTACACAGGCTGCAACCACAACTGAAGCTACAAGACCTAAAACCACGGTGACAGCAACACAAATTCAAACCACAGCAGCAAGTACAACGCCTGAAACAACAGTGACAACTCTGATGACTTCAACCATATCACATGCTACGCAGCCTATTACAACGGTGACAACTGCAAAGGCTCCAACCACAGCAAAAACTACACCGCCTATAACAACGGTGAAAACTACACCGGTTCTAACTACAGTAGAAACTACACAGCCTCCAACCACAGTAAGAGACACAACATTGGTAGAAACTACACCATCACCATCTACAGTTAAAACTACACAGTCACCAACGACAATGAAAACTACAGCCTCGACAACAACACTAAAATCCACACAGACTCCAACCTCAGCGGAAGCAACACAGCCTGCAACTATAATGGAAACTACACGGTTTACAACTGCGGCTAAAACTACACCACCTTTGACAACGAGTGGCCAAAGCACCTTAACAACATCAGAAACCTCCCAAGCTTCGACAGAGATGATGGCGACATCAAGTACGGGGGAGACTTTGTCGCCTACAACAAGTGCCGCTTCTACCATGCAGCCGACGATAGCTTCTTCAACCACAGGAAAGTCTACAAATGCTGCTATATCTACAATCCAACCATCAACTATCTATGCCACAACGACGGGACTGACAACAAAAATTACAACATCCCAAGCAACTTCAACATCAGCTTTGTCAACGCAATCACGAACAGTGTCATCTACATCTGAAGAGCAAACAACGACTCTGATTAGCACAAAACGGTCCACTACAGACTTTGACACGACGGTGCTTAATACAGAGGAACTGCCTTCTTCGGAGGGGGTTTCAACAGTGGGGTCATCCACACAGTCATCAACTACCTTGCAGGTATCAACCGGATTCCCCACAACAGAACGTCCTCTCCCTACGTTTGAAACGACAACAGTGCCATCCACAGCTGTAGAGCAAACAACGGATATGACGACCACGAAACCGTTAACCACGGAATCTTACAAGACAATGCTTAATACAGAAGAACCGACTACTTCGGACGTTTCAACAGTGGGGTTATCCACACAGTCATTATCTACAGTGCAGGGGTCGACAGCAACTCCCACAACAGAGCATCATCTCACTACCTTTGAGTCGACAACAGTACTACCTACAACTGAAGAGCTAACAACAGCTGTAGTAAGTACTGAACCGTCAACTACAGATTCTGACACGACGGTGGTGTTTAGTACAAAAGAAACGACTACTTCGGACCAAGTTTCAACCGTAAGGTTATCCACAGAGTCATCAACTACCGTGCAGGGGTCGACAGAATCTCCCACAACAGAGCATCATTTCAGTACCTTTGAACCGACATCCTTACTTTCGACAACTGAAGAGCAAACTACTGCTGTGACAACCACCGAACTGTCAACTACAGACTCTGACACGACGGTTCCTATTACAGAAGAACCGACTATTTCGGAGAAGGTTTCAACAGTGGAATCATCCACACGGTCATTATCTACTATGCAGGGGTCGACAGCAACTCCCACAACAGAACAGACTTTCAGTACCTTTGAACCGACATCCATATTGTCGACAACCGGGGAGCAAACCATGGCTGTAATTACCACAAAACCGTCATCTACTGCCGTCTACACGACGGTGATGAATACAGAAGAACCGACTACTACGGTATTTTCCACAACAGAACATCCTCTCACTACCTTTGAGTCGACAACAGTACTATCCACAACTAAAGAGGAAACAACAGCTGTAGTAAGTACTAAACTATCAACTACAGCCTCGACGGCGTTTAGTACAGAAGAACCGACTACTTTGGCTGGAGTTTCAACTGTGGAATTATCCACACAGTCATTATCTACTGTGCAGGGGTCGACAGCGACTCCCACAACAGAACAGCCTTTCACTACTTTTGAGTCGACAACAGTGCTACCTACAACTCAAAAACAAACAGTAGCTGTAACAACCACTGAAGTGTCAACTACAGACTCTGAAACTACGGTGCTTGACACAGCCACACAGTCATTATCTACTGTGCAGGGGTCAACAGCGAATCCCACAACAGAACGGCATTTCACTACCTTTATGTCGACAACAGCACTACCCACTACTGAAGACCAAACAGTAGCTGTGACAATCACAGAGCTGTCAACAACAGACTCTGACACGACGGCGTTTAGAACAGAGAAACCGACTACTTCGGAAGGGGTTTCAACAGTGGGGTCAACCACACAGTCATTATCTACTGTGCAGGGTTCGACAGCAACTCCCACAACAGAAAATCCTTTCAGTACCTTTGAACCGACATCCTTACTTTCGACAACTGAAGAGCAAACTACTGATGTAATTACCACTAAATCGTCATCTACAGACGAACCGACTACCACGGCATTTTCCACAACAGAACATCCTCTCACTACTTTTGAGTCGACAACAGTACTATCCACAACTAAAAAGGAAACAACAGCTGTAGTAAGTACTAAACCATCAACTACAGCCTCGACGGCGTTTAGTACAGAAGAACCGACTACTTTGGCTGGAGTTTCAACTGTGGAATTATCCACACAGTCATTATCTACTGTGCAGGGGTCGACAGCAACTCCCACATCAGGACATCCTTTCACAACCTTTGAACCGACATCCTTACTTTCGACAACTGAAGAGCAAACTACTGATGTAATTACCACAAAACCGTCAACTACAAAAGAACCGACCACTACGGCATTTCTCACAACAGAACGTCCTCTCACTACTTTTGAGTCGACGACAGTACTATCCACAACTAAAGAGGAAACAACAGCTGTAGTAAGTACTAAACCATCAACTACAGACTCGACGGCGTTTAGTACAGAAGAACTGACTACTTTGGGTGGAGTTTCAACTGTGGAATTATCCACACAGTCATTATCTACTGTGCAGGGGTCGACAGCAACTCCCACAACAGAACATCCTTTAAGTACTTTTGAGTCGACAACAGTGCTACCTACAACTCAAAAACAAACAGTAGCTGTAACAACCACTGAAGTGTCAACTACAGACTCTGAAACTACGGCGTTTAGTACAGAGAAACCGACTACTTCGGACCGAGTTTCAACAGTGGAATCATCCACACAGTCATTATCTACTGTACAGGGGACTACAGCAACTCCCACAACAGAACAGCCTTTCACTACCTTTGAACCGACATCCCTACTTTCGACAACTGAAGAGCAAACTACTGATGTAATTACCACAAAACCGTCAACTACAGAAGAACCGTCTACCACGGCATTTCCCACAACAGAACATCCTCTCACTACTTTTGAGTCGACAACAGTACTATCCACAACTGAAGAGCAAACAACAGCTGAACCGTCAACTACACACGCTGACACAACCGTGCTTAGTACAGAAGAACCGACTACTTTGGACCGAGTTTCAACAATGGAATCATCCACACAGTCATTATCTACAATGCCATCCACAACAGAAGAGCAGACAGCGTTTGTGACAACCACTGAACCGTCAACTACAGAATCTTACACAACCGTGCTTAGTACAGAAGAACCGACTACTTCGGACCGAGTTTCAACAGTGGAGCCATCCACACAGTCATTATCTACTTTCGAAACAACAACGCCATCCACAACAGAAGAGCAAACAGCAGCGGCTATGACAACCGCTGAACCGTCAACTACAGAATCTTACACGACTGAGAAATCTACACAGTCTCCAACCACAGCGGAAACAACGCAGCCTATGACAACTACACAGGTTCCAACTACAACTACACAGCCTATTACAACAGGTGAAACCACACAGGCTACGACCACAGCAGAAACTACAACTCAGTTGGGAGAATGTAATGCTGGATGTAACAAGTATGCGGAAATGCTGTCAAACGGAACTTGCCAATGTAAAAAAGGGTTCGCTGGAGACGGAACGACATGCTTGCTGGGTGAGTGTAAATTTACTACCTGGGATGGGGAGTACCACTTGTCATCAAAGTTTGTTGTTCATTGATGCTGTTTGTTCATTAAATGAAGCCGGTGGTCTACAAAATGGTTTGTTACTTCTAGATTTAAATTATATTTTGTTTGTTATATCTATCTAAATATCTAATATGTATGTGGCTCATAATCTATATGTATCCATGTATGTATCTATGTGTGTGTGTGTGTGTGAGGTGAACACAGGTATATACCAACCATATAAAGTATTTTAATCAATTTATTCATCAGAATGTTTTGCTTGAAATACCTTTCAGCTTCCAGCGGATTTGCACAGAGTGCGAGATTTACCGGCCTAACTTACCAGGACTCCCTGACTGACTGTAGATCTGCAGATTTCAGGGCTACAAAATTGAATATGACAGCAATGGTTAGTCTGACTTGTGTGGCTATATTATGGTATATCCATTGAAAAAAGAAATTGGTGACCTTAATTTTTCTGCTGCGGAGCCCAACCATCCTTGTTTTGTACATACAGTACCCTCTAAGATTTTGGGGATATTTCTTGTGCAACGCATCACACCGCAGCGAAACGCAACGAATGCGAAAGTAACTACGCCACCGCAGGGCAAAAAAAGTCGGGGTCTATGACCTGATTAAGACATAAAATTATTGCAAAATATTGTGTAAAAATCCAGCAGGACAAGGGTTAATTGAAAATTTTTGAATTTCTCGCCGATTCATATATGGCCTCCCATTGACTCCCAATATAGGCAACATGCATACTTGAGGAAATGGAAGAAAGAAAATGAGATAACCTTTCTAGAATAGGGACCTTTGCTGAACTTCCTGTCTTTGTCAAAGTGCCTAGTATATAGAAACTCAATAACATTAACAACAGAGACAGAGTACGTTTGGTGTTCATTTTATCAAATTGGAGACTTGAAAAAAATGGTATCTAATTCTAAATCGGCAAAATTCTGATCCATCGAAATCTAACATCTGTGTCCATAATATCACCAGGGTCCATAATATCACCACCTTGAGAAACAGTGTGCTTTAAGATATTTTTACTGCAACATACTTTTGGTATGCACTCCTTCACACATCAAGTGTACATACCTAGGGTATCTTGAAGTAAAAATATCTTAAAGCACACTGTTTCTCAAGGTGGCGATATGATGGTCCCTGGTGATATTATGGACACAGATGTTACATTTGTGTCAACCACGTTGTATTCGAGAAGAATTGCCTCTATAACAAAATATGATTATGTCCTGTCAACTCTTCTAATCTGCAGATCACCGATGTCTACTCAAGAAGTTCCGTCGCAGGACACATCTACTCTCTTGTAATAACGTCCTTCGCAAGCGGAAGCCTCATCGTGGATACGACCATCACAGCTGACCCAGACGCTAGTCTCACAGCAGACGCCATGGAGCAGGCCTTCATTGAGTCTCTGGGGGCTGACATGGACGTGAACACAACAGGTTTATTTGTTTATTTGTGTTTACCACGAGTACGAGTGTACAAGTGGAGGGGAGGACAAAACAGGTGCATTGACACCTTGTCCTCCCAACACTGCATGTACAATGTAAATACACATTACAATATAATGAATACAAAACAGATTACAATATTGAACATCATTATTCTGAAATATTATACATTAAACATCAAATATAATACATCAATCCAATACATGAAATACTGTACAATACAATGTCAAGGAATATAATACATTATTTACACAAATTATGGTGAGTGGTGAATGTTGTCATTGTACAAACCACTACTTATAACGATCCTAATGTATGACAATCACTCACCATACACACATGCCTTGAAGTTCATACATGCACACAAACTCCAGTATTTGAAACCATAGCGATAAAAATAGTGTTTAAATCATGTTTAAAGCTCTTTTAACTGAGTGTTTATAATCAACCCATGATGAATGCATCCTACTAATATTTTGTTTCCAATCTAGCTCTGTGCTCTTCTGATTACTGTCTGACTGATGGGGAATGTTTGGCCACGGATTCATCCAGGATATGCGCGTAAGTACTACATGTGGGGTCGTGTGGGCTAGCGGCAGAGTGCTCGACTCGGAACCTAGAGGTCCCGGGTTCGAGTCCTGACATGCCACCGGTCTTGTGCCCTTGGGAAAGGCACTTTACACGACTTTCCTCTTTTCGCTCAGGTGAAAACGAGTATTGAATTGTCTATTGTCCCTTGTATTGGTGGCGGCATTAGTATAAGTTGAAAAAAAAACTTGCGTGTGCCGTCACCACGTCTTGTGATTACATGTTGGAAATAATAATAATTAAAAAAAGTACTACATGGGCCAGGCGTTTAGCGTTTAAAGCTAAATCGTGGGATCGTTTGGCATAATGGTTGAATTGGTATTTGGCTTGGAACCTATAGGTCCTGAGTTCGAATCCATCAATATGTCCCGATGTTGTGCCCTTGTAAAAGGCACTTTTTCATTACATCACTCAGGTGAAAATGAGTACCTCGCTTCGGTTAGGGACGTCTCTTGGATAGGTAGTTTAAAGTAGGTCACGTGCTTTTGAGAGAGCCACACCCCACGTACATTGAAGAACCCACCATGCCGTTCGCGAAAAAATAGGGGCATGCCCCGGTGTGCGATTGTTCGAATCCTACTGTATAGAACGTTGATTTACATGTACCATTTACATGCGAAGTTAAGATATATTAAATAAGGTAATAGGAGCACCAATCTCATGCAAAATAGTGTCTCAGCGCAATATGCCATCTTAACTTTCAGATGCACGCAGGTCTACGACAATGCCCAATGCCAGGCACCAGTAGTGACAACAACAGAAGAAAACATCGCAACGCTACCTTTAACAACTACACAGCCTATCACAACGGTGGGAACAACAAAGGCTACAACCACTTTAGAAACTACACAGCCTCCAACAGTGGTGGCGTCAACTGCTGCAGAGACCTTGTTGCCTACAACAAATGCCGCTTCTACAATACAGCCGACGACGGATGGTTCAACTCTACAGCCAACAACTGAAGGTAACTCTGTCCAGTGTTACCCCTTGGACAATGATCACTGTATACAGGACTACTACAGAACGCACTTTGCCTGCGCGAAATCCTGATAATTCACGGTTTTTGCTGGATGTTTGGTCAACGTTGCATAAGAATTTTGCCTGTTGTAGACGATATCTTTTCCAACGTAACATTTGGATCCAGACTCCTTTTGCAGGCTGAATAAGTGGTAAAAATCGGCCTAAAGGGGATATAATTGGAGCCCCATTTGCCTGCACGTGCAAAATAGCTTCTATCGCCGGCAACTTGCAAATCATGTCCCTCTTTTAGGTAGGTCTCTACTATCTATTCAGCCTTCAAAAGGAGTCTGGTGGAAAAGAACGTATTCCATCTTTTATATGGCGTTAACATGAAAAGACATCGGGCATTACCTGTCTTTTATGAATGCTGTGATTTTAGATAGAATTCTAGACGTTAATTTTTTCAGTCATACGACCAGCACAGACGAAATTACATATCCATTACCTTCGTATATTACAGATCAGCCGACTACAATACCAGCCCGACCTTCGACTGCTGTAATAACTACAGAACAGCCATCTACTATAAAGGATAAGACAACACAGCGGACAACTGACACACCGACTACAGCACAGAGCACAATATTTGAGACTACGATTGCAGCTGCAACAATACAGCCAACAACGAATGGTAAGATTTATAATCATATCTGCCCTCGTCGACATGAATGTACTCGTAGGTTATCATGTTTACCGAAAGGAAAACATACTGTTAGAAGAAAAATATTTCCTCTTGTTAAATGGTTTTTGGTTTTTATTATCCAAACAGTACCCGTGCAGTAGCAGCCTGTATACGGCTGAATTGATGCAGGGTATCACATAATCAATACAAATCACAACAATTACAACAATCAAATAATACACATAATACACATATTTGTCGCAAGGGTCTGTGCGGCTGCCATTCGGCGCCACAAGGTGACCTCAATACGACTTTCCCCAACCGAAGTTAGGTACCCATTCACACCTGGGTGGAGTGAGGAAAGTCGTGTAAAGTGCCTTTCCCAAGGGCACAACGTCGGGGCGCATGTTCAGACATGTACCGGGTACGACTCGGAATCGAACACGGGTCTCCCGGTTCATAGTCGATTGCTCTATCCACTACACCACCCGACGCCACATTGTTGAAAGACATAAGTCAAATAGTTAAAGGACAAATGCTGTAATTTCATGTTTGCCTTTTTAAACCCAAAATCCCATTTGCAAAAGGCGATTCATTGGTGTCTATCAGTCCCGCACACATAGGAGTGATATTGTAGTCAAATCGGTGTTCACATTTGATCTAAGATCTACAAATGCACAACGAAACTTCTCTGATTTTTGGTGTTCTTGAATACCTTTGCCACATCAACCTTAGGACAATCTACAACTGCTGCTGTATCTACAATCCAACCATCAACTATTTATGACACGACAACGGACCTGACAACAGAAATTAGAGCAACTTCAACATCAGCTTTGTCAACACAATCTTCAACAGTGTCAGCCACATCTCAAGAGAAAACCACGGCTCTCATAAGCACAGAGCCATCAACTACTGACTCGGTAACAACGGTGCTTAGTACAGAAGATCTGACTACTTCTGACGGAGTTTCAACAGAGGGGCCATCATCTACCGTGCAGGTGTCGACTGTATTACCAACAACCGAACATACTTTCACTACGGTTGAAACGACAACAATGCCATCCACAACTGAGCAAGCAACGACTGTGAGTACCACAGAATCATCAACTACAGACTCTGACACGACGGTGATGAATACAGAGGAACCGACTACTTCGGAAGGAGTTTCAACACAGTCAGTATCTACTGTGCAGAGGTCGACAGCAACTCCGACAACAGAACATCCTTTCACTACGTTTGAAACTACAACAGCAGTATCTACAACTGAAGAGCAAACGACGGCTGTGACAACCACTGAACCGTTAACTACGGACTCTGACACAACCGTGCTTAGTACAGAAGAACCGACTACTTCGGACGGAGTTTCAACAGTGGGATCATCCACACAGTCATTATCTACTGTGCAGGGGTCGACAGCAACTCCGACAACAGAACAGCCTTTCACTACGTTTGAAACTACAACAGCAGTATTTACAACTGAAGAGCAAACGACGGCTGTGACAACCCCTGAACTGTCAACTACAGACTCTGACACAACCGTGCTTAGTACAGAAGAACCGACTACTTCGGACGGAGTTTCAACAGTGGGATCATCCACACAGCCATTATCTACTGTACAGGGTTCGACAGCGAATCCCACAACAGAACAGCCTTTCACTACTTTTGAAAGTACAACAGCAGTATATACAACTGAAGAGCAAACGACGGCTCTAACAACCACTGAGCCCTTAACTACAGACGCTGACACGACGGTGCTGAATACAGAAGAACCGACTACTTTTGAAGGAGTTTCAACAGTGAGGCCATCCACACAGCCCTCAACCATAATACCATCAACAACTGAGGAGCAAACAACAGCTATGACAACCACTAAATTATCAACTACAGACTCTGACACGACGGTGCCTGTTACAGAAGAACCTACTACCTTGGACGTGGTTTCAACAGTGGAGCCATCTACAGTGCAGATGTCGACTGCATTACCAACAACAGAACATCCTTTCAGTACTTTTGAAACTACAAAAACCGTATCTACAACTGAAGAGCAAACGACGGCTGTAACAACCACTGAACCGTCAACTACAAACGCTTTCACAACCGTACTTAGTACAGAAGAACCGACTACTTCGGACCGAGTTTCAACAGTGGAATCAACAACACAGCAGCCATCCACCGTGCAGGGGTCGACTGCATTACCATCAACAGAACATCTTGTCACTATGTTTGAAACAACAACAATGCCATCTACATCTAAAGAGCAAACGACGGCTGTAACAACAACTAAACCGTCAACTACAGACTCTTACACGACGGTGTTAACTACAGAAGAACCGACTACGTCGGACGGAGTTTCAACGATCGGGTCAACAACACAGCAACCATCCACATTGCACATGGTGTCGACTGCATTACCAACAACAGAACACCCTGTCACTATGTTTGAGACAACAACAATACTATCCACATCTGAAGAGCAAACAACGACTGTAACAACAACTAAACCGTCAACGGCTGGGATAACCACACAACCATCAACTACAGACTCTTACACGACGGAGCTTACAACAGAAGTGCCGACTACGATGCTGCCAACAACCGATGAGTCCACACAGCAAACCACAACCACGCCCCCTCCCGCCTCAACCTTGGCTACAACTTCCCCGTACGTATAATTTTGTTGACTTGTAAATCATTTACTACCTATACCTGTTTACCTACAACACTGGGGTATATGTCACGAACCATACGCCTTCTTGTGCACTCGAAGAACGTCTTTTACACTCCAGTAAATTGAATGCTCTTACTAGTATCTCTTGCGTTAAGTAGCTAGGCAGGTACAATGTCAACATTCTTAACACGACCTTCCAAATGGTATATTCTTAGGAAATAAAAAAATTATAAGGATGATGATAAGGTCTGAACAAGCTAAATCTGTTTCTTTCCTTTCCTTCCAGATTCCAGCCATCAACCGCAAAATCTACGATAGAAACTACAGTGTTTGCCACCACAGTGGTACCTTCTACAGAGAAAACAACACAACTAATGACAACGATGGAAACAACAGCCTCTCCAAGCACGGTAAGAACTACGCCCGTTCAAACCACTGTGACACCAACCACAGAAGTATCAACACAGCCTCTTACAACTGTAAAAACGACGCAGACTCCAACTACAGCAGAAACAACAATGTTTCTATCAACAATGTTTGAAACTACACCGGCAACATCCACAGTTCTAACTACAAAACCTTCCACTATGGTAACAACTCCAGCTTCTGAGTCAGCGGTTAGAACTACATCGATTCAAACCACTGTGATACCAACTACAGAAGAGTCTACACAGCCCCTAACTACCGTAAAAACTACCCAAACTACAACAATGACGGAAACTTCACAACCCATGACAACGGTGGTAAATACACAGGTTCCAACTGCAATAGGAGTTACAACTGAGAAAACTACACAGTCTCCAACGACAGCAGAGACTACACATCATGTAACGACCTCAAAATCTACACAAATGCCAACAACGACAGAAACTACACGATCAATGACGACAGTGAGGAATACACAGGCTCCAACTGCAATAGAAGTTACAACGGAGAAAACTACACAGTCTCCAACGACAACAGAAACAACACAACCTGCAACAACCGTAAAATCTACACAGGTTCAGACAACAGCAAAAACTACACAGGCTACAACTACGGTGGGAAGTACACAACCTCTCACGACAGTGGTAACTACAAAGGCTCAAACCACAACTACAGAACCTGTCACAACGGTGGGAACTACGAAGGCTCCAACCACAGCAGCGGAAACTACACAGCCTCCAACAGTGGTCGAAACTAGAGATACAACATTGGTTAGAACTACACCATCGTCATCGACAGCAAAAACCACGTCTTCCACAATGAAAACTACAGCCTCTACAACAACAATGACAACCACACATGCTCCAAGTACAGCAGCATCTACACTGCTTACAACAACAGTGGAAACTACACGGGCCCTAACCACAGCAAAAAGTACACAGCCTAAAACAACGGCAAAAACCACGGGGAGTACAACCACAAACAAAATTACTACGAAGAAAACTACACAATCTCCAACGACAGCAGAAACTACACACCTTGCAACAACGGTAAAATCTACACAGATTCAAACAACAGCAAAAACTACACAGGCTACAACAACGGAGAAAACTACACTGTCTCCCACGACAGCAGAAACTACACTGGCGGTATCAACCAAAACGAAGCCTTCGACAACTACACGCCATTCAACAACAATCCAACCTATCACAACGGTGGGAACTACAAAGGCTCCAACCACAGCAGCGGAAACTACACAGCCTCCAACAGTGGTCGAAACTAGAGATACAACATTGGTAAGAACTACACCATCGCCATCGACAGCAAAAACCACGCAGTCTCCATCCACAATGAAAACTACAGCCTCTACAACAACAATGACAACCACACAAACTCCAACCACAGCAGAAACAGAAACTACACTACTTACAACAACAGTGGAAACTACGCGGGCCCTAACTACAGCAGAAAGTACACAGCCTAAGACAACGGCAAGAACTACAGGGTCTACAACCACATTGCAACTTACAACGGAGAAAACTACACAATCTCCAACCACAACAGAAACTACACATCCTGTAACAACGGTAAAATCTACACAGATTCCGACAACGGTAAAATCTACACAGACTCCAACAACAACAGAAACTACACAACCCATAACAACGGTGGAAAATTCACAAGCCACGACCGCATTACAAATTACAACGGAGAAAACTACACAGTCTCCCACGACAGCAGGAACTACACACCTTGCAACAACGGTAAAATCTACACAGATTCAAACAACAGCAAAAACTACACAGGCTACCACAACGAAGAAGACTACACAGTCTCCCACGACAGCAGAAACTACACATCCTCTCACGACGATGGTAACTACAAAGGCTCCGACCACAACTACAGAACCTGTCACAACGGTGGGAACTACGAAGGCTTTAACCACAGCAGCAGAAACTACACAGCCTCCAACAGTGGTCGAAACTAGAGATACAACATTGGTTAGAACTACACCATCACCATCGACAGCAAAAACAACGCAGTCACCTTCCACAATGAAGACTACAGCATCTACAACAACAATGACAACCACACAAGCTCCAACCACAACAGAAACTACAGTACTTACAACAACGCTGGAAACTACACGGGCCCTAACCACAGCAGAAAGTACACAGCCTAAGACAACGGCAACAACTACAGGGTCTACAACCACATTGCAACTTACAACGGAGAAAACTACACAATCTCTAACCACAACAGAAACTACACATCCTGTAACAACGGTAAAATCTACACAGACTCCAACAACAACAGTAACTACACAACCCATAACAACGGTGGAAAATTCACAAGCCCCAACCGCATTACAAATTGCAACGGAGAAAACTACACAGTCTCCCACGACAGCAGAAACTACACACCTTGCAACAACGGTAAAATCTACACAGATTCAAACAACAGCAAAAACTACACAGGCTACAACAACGGAGAAAACTACACTGTCGCCCACGACAGCAGAAACTACACATCCTCTCACGACAGTGGTAACTACAAAGGCTCCAACCACAACTACAGAACCTATCACAACGGTGGGAACTACACAGGCTCCAACCACAGCAGCAGAAACTACACAGCCTCCAACAGTGGTCGAAACGAGAGATACAACATTGGTAAGAACTACACCATCACCATCGACAGCAAAAACCACGCAGTCTCCATCCACAATGAAAACTACAGCAGAAACTACACTGCTAACAACAACAGTGGAAACTACACGGGCCCTAACCACAGCAGAAAGTACACAGCCTAAAACAACGGCAAAAACTACCAGCCTCTACGACCACACAAGCTAAAACTACAGCAGAAACTACACTGCTTACAACAACAGTCGAAACTACACGGGCCCTAACCACAGCAGAAAGTACAACGGCCTCAAACAACGGCAAAAACAACGGAGAGCACAACCACAGTGGGAATTACAACGGATAAATCTACACAGTCACCAACGACAGCAGAAACTACACATCCTGTAACAACGGTAAAATCTACACAGATTCCGACAACGGTAAAATCTACACAGACTCCAACAACAACAGAAACTACACAACCCATAACAACGGTGGAAAAGTCACAAGCCCCAACCGCATTAGAAATTACAACGGAGAAAACCACACAGTCTCCCACGACAGCAGCAGAAACTACACACCTTGCAACAACGGTAAAATCTACACAGATTCAAACAACAGCGAAAACTACACAGGCTACAACAACGGAGAAAACTACACTGTCGCCCACGACAGCAGAAACTACACATCCTATCACAACGGTGGGAACTACACAGGCTCCAACCACAGCAGCAGAAACGACACAGCCTCCAACAGTGGTCGAAACTAGAGATACAACATTGGTAAGAACTACACCATCGCCATCGACAGCAAAAACCACGCAGTCTCCATCCACAATGAAAACTACAGCCTCTACAACAACAATGACAACCACACAAACTCCAACCACAGCAGAAACAGAAACTACACTACTTACAACAACAGTGGAAACTACGCGGGCCCTAACTACAGCAGAAAGTACACAGCCTAAGACAACGGCAAAAACTACAGCCTCTACGACCACACAAGCTCAAACTACAGCAGAAACTACACTGCTTACAACAACAGTGGAAACTACACGGGCCCTAACCACAGCAGAAAGTACACAGCCTAAAACAACGGCAAAAACAACGGCGAGCACAACCACAGTGGGAATTACAACGGAGAAATCTACACAGTCACCAACGACAGCAGAAACTACACATCCTGTAACCACGGCAAAATCTACTCAGACTCCAACAACGACAAAAACTACACAACCCATAACAACAGAGAGAACTACACAGCCTCCAACAACAGCAGAAACAACGCAGCCTATAACAACTACACAGGCTATCACAACGATGACAACTACACAGGCTCCAACCACGACGGAAACCCAGCCTATCACAACGGTAACAACTACTCAGATTCCAACAACGAGAGATACTACCCAGCCTTCTACATCAGTGAAAACTACACAGGCTCAAACTACAGTAAGAACAACCCAGCATATAACAACAGTGGGAACTACACAGTCTCAAACCACAGCAGCAGAAACTACACAGCCTCCAACAGTGGTAGAAACTAGAGACACAACATTGCTGAAAACTACGCCATCATCATCAACAGTGAAAACGACAGAGAAACCAACCACGATAAAAACTACAGCCTCTACAACAACATTGAAAACTACACAGGCTCCAACCACAACTCAAACTACAAAGCCTGAAACAACTGTGTCAACTACGATTACTCCAACCTTACCACAAACTACACAGCCTATAACAACATTGAAAACTACAAAGGCCGCAACCACAACGGAAACTACACAGCCTATAACAACGGTCAAAACTACGCAGCGTCCAACTACAACAGAACCTACACCGTCGACACTAGAAACCACAGAATCACTATCGACTACGCATCCAGTAACAACGGTAAGAACTACAGACACTTCAACCAAAGCAAAAACCACACAGCCATTGACAACATTAGAAACCACTGAAGGTCTATCAACTGTTGAACCTACGCACCCTCTGACAACGTTAAGCACTACAGAGACTTCAACCATAGCAGAAACTACACATCCTTTAATAACGACTAAAACGACGCAGCGTCCAACTACAACAGAAACTACACCATCATTGACAACAATAGAAACCACCGAAACTCTATCAACTGTTGAACCTACGCACCGTCTAACGACGATTCAGACTACAGAGACTTTAACCACAGCAGAAACTACACATTTTCTAACAACAGTTAAAACTACACAGCCTCCAGCTACAACCACACAACCTACTACAACTATGGGAACTACACAACCTCCGACCACATCAAAAACTACACAGCCTCCAACGGTTGTTGAAACCAGAGATACAACATTGGTAGGAACTACACCACCGCCATCGACAATGGAAACTACGCAGACACCTACCACGATGTACACTACAGCCTCGACAACAACAATAACATCTACACAGAAACCAACCACTACAGCTTTGACAACCGCAATGACATCTACACAGACTACAGCAGAGGCTACGACAACGATGGAAACTACACATATTCAAACTACAGCAAAAACTACACAGCCTTTTACAACAGTGGTTACAACTATGTCGTCCTCATCTACGGAGGGAAGTACGGTGTATTCAAGCACGGTAAGAAATACACCTCTTCCGATCGTTGAAGTTCTCTACACATTTGTGAAACCTAACATCCTTTAACCACAATATAAAGTACACTACAGTCATTCTCCAATCACAGTAGAAATCGTTAAAGAAATCATAAAGACTACGTCCACTTTAAACATTTGATAAATACGATCTATGTTGCATAGGTGCCACCCAAGGTGACAACCACCGTAGAAACTACACAGCCTACAACATCTCTAGAAACAACGCAGCTGAGTTCTACTGTTATTCCATCCACGGTGAGGACTACACAGCCAACGACCAACGTGGGAACTACACCGTCTACAAGCACGGTAAGACCTACACCGATTCCAACAGCTGTGAAACCCACACATGATCTAACAACAGTTAAAACTACGCCCCCGACTACAACAGAAACTACACCATCATTGGCAATAGACGACACCACAGAGTCACTATCAACTGTTGAACCCACGTATTCAGTAACAACAGTTAGCACTACAGAGACTTCAACCATGGCAGGAACTACACATCCTTTAACAACAACTAAAACAACGCAGCCTCCAACTACAACAGAAACTACACCATCATTGACAACAATAGAAACCACCGAAGCTCTATCAACTGTTGAACCTACACACCGTCTAACGACGATACACACTACAGAGACTTTAACCACAGCGGAAACTACACATCTTCTAACAACGGTTAAAACTACGCAGCCTCCAACCACAACAGAAGCTACACAGCCTTTAACAACGGGGAAAACTACACAACCTACTACAACATTGAAAACTACAAAGGCTCTTACCACATCAGAAACTACACAGCCCCCAACAGTTGTTGAAACTAGGGATACAACATTGGTAGAAACAACGCCATCGCCATCAACAATGAAAACTACACAGCCTACGTCTACAGTGAAAACTACACAGCCTACATCTACAGTAAAAACTACACAGCCTACATCTACGGTAGAAACTACACAGCCTACATCTACGGTAGAAACAACACAGCCTACATCTACAGTGAAAACTACACAGCCTACATCTACGGTCAAAACTACACAGCCTACATCTACAGTGACAACTTCACAGCCTACATCTACAGTAAAAACTACACAGCCTACATCTACAGTGAAAAGTACACAGCTTACATCTACATTGAAACCTACACAGCCTACATCTACAGTTAAAACTACAGACACCTTAACAACGGAAGTCACTACTGTAACACAGCCTCCAACTACCAAAGAAACTACACAGCCATTGACAACAGTAGAAACAACCAAGTTACTATCAACCGTTGAGGCTACGCACCCTCTAACAACGATCAGCACTACAGAGACTTCAACCATACCAGAAACGACGTTCGAAACTACACAGCCTCCAATTACAACAGAAACTACACATCCATTAACAACTGTAGAAACCACAAAGTCACTATCAACTGTTCAACCTACACATCCACTAACAACCGTTAGCACTACAGAGACGTCAACCATAGCGGAAACTACACATCCTCTAACAACAGCTAAAACTACACAGCCTCAAACCACAGCCAAAACTACACAGCCTTTAACGACGGGGAAAACTACACAGGTGCTAACCACAACTACTCAACCTAGTACAACGATGGGCACTACAAAGGCTCTTACCACATCAGAAACTACACAGCCCCCAACAGTTGTTGAAACCAGAGATACAACATTGGTAAAAACAACGCCATCGCCATCAACAATGAAAACTACACAGCCTACGTCTACAGTGAAAACTACACAGCCTACATCTACAGTCAAAACTACACAGCCTACATCTACAGTCAAAACTACACAGCCTACATCTACGGTAGAAACAACACAGCCTACATCTACAGCAAAAACTACACAACCTACATCTACAGTAGAAACTACACAGCCTACATCTACAGTCCAAACAACTCAGGAGGTGTCATCTGCAATGACAACTAGTCAACAACCCACCACGGTGGAAACCACTCCATATACGACGAAAACGACACATGTACCGTCATCAGTTAAGAGCACTATACCTTCAACCACAACAGAAACGACACAATCTACTACCATGGTTAGTACACAACTTCATTCTACTTTACAAACTACACAGGCCCCGTCCACAGTGAAGACTACACGAGTGCCCTCGACGGTTAGGAGTACACAGCCTTCAACAATATCACAAACTACATGGAGGCCATCCACTGTACGAACCACTGAGGTGCCATCCACGGTTGAATCGACCCAGCCTGAAACAACAGTAAGAAGTACGCAGTTGTCTTCAACACAATCAACAGTTAGAACTACGAAGCCTTCCACCACATGGAGAACAATTCTTGAAACGATGGCAACAACGCAGCCACTATCTACGGAGAAAACCACGCGGCATACATCCACCATGGAAACAACGCAACCTTCAACCACAATGAAAACTACAAAGTATACATCCACCATGGAAACAACGCAACCTTTAACCACAATGAAAACTACACAGTATACATCCACCATGGAAACAACGCAACCTTCAACCACAATGACCCCGTATACATCAACCATGGAAACTACGCAACCTCCAACCACAGTGAAAACTACTCAGGTGCCGTCAACAAAGCCTACAACAACTGTACAAAGTACGCTGCCTACAACAACTACACAGCACCCATCTACGGTGAAAACTACACAGCATCAATCTACGGTGGAAACTACACAGCATCAGTCCACGGTGGAAACTACACAGCACCCATCTACGGTGGAAACCACACAGCACCCGTCTACGTTAAAGACTACAAAGTATCAAACTACGTTCGGAACTACACAGCCTATATCTACGAAGAAAACTACTCTGTCTACATCTACGATGGAAACTACACAGCCTACATCTACAGTGGAAACTACACAGGAGCCATCTACGGCGAAAACTACACCGGGGCCATCTACGGTAAAGACTACAAACTCTCAAACTACGTTACAAAGTACACAGCCTTCAACAATATCACACACTACTGTACGAACTACTGAGGCGCCATCCACATTTGAATCGACCCAGCCTGTAACAACAGTAAGAAGTACGCAGTTGTCTTCAACGCTGGAAACAACACAATCAACAGTTAGAACTACGAAGCCTTCCACCACATGGAGAACAATTCTTGAAACGATGGCAACAACTCAGCCCCTATCTACGGAGAAAACCACGCAGCATACATCCACCATGGAAACAACGCAACCTTCAACCACAATGAAAACTACACAGTATACATCCACCATGGAAACAACGCAACTTTCAACCACAATGAAAACTACACAGTATACATCCACCATGGAAACAACGCAACCTTCAACCACAATGAAAACTACACCGTATACATCCACCATGGAAGCAACGCAACCTCCAACCACAGTAAAAACTACTCAGGTGCCGTCAACAAAGCCTACAACAACTGTACAAAGTACGCTGCCTACAACAACTACACAGCACCCATCTACGGTGAAAACTACACAGCATCAATCTACGGTGGAAACTACACAGCACCCGTCAACGGTAAAGACTACAAAGTATCAAACTACGTTCGGAACTACACAGCCTATATCTACGAAGAAAACTACTCTGTCTACATCTACGATGGAAACTACACAGCCTACATCTACAGTGAAAACTACACAGCCTACATCTACAGTGGAAACTACACAGGAGCCATCTACGGCGAAAACTACACAGGGGCCATCTACGGTAAAGACTACAAAGTCTCAATCTACGTTACAAAGTACACAGCCTTCAACAATATCACAAACTACTGTACGAACTACTAAGGCGCCATCCACAGTTGAATCGACACAGCCTGTAACAACAGTAAAGAGCACGCAGTTGTCTTCAACGATGGAAACAACACAGTCAACATTTAGAACTACAAATCCTTCCACCACATGGAGAACAATTCTTGAAACGATGGCAACAACGCAACCACTATCTACGGAGAAAACCACGCAGCATACATCCACGATGGAAACAACGCAACCTTCAACCACAATGAAAACTACACCGTATACATCCACCATGGAAACAACGCAACCTTCAACCACAATGAAAACTACACAGTATACATCCACCATCGAAACAACGCAACCTCCAACCACAGTAAAAACTACTCAGGTGCCGTCAACAAAGCCTACAACAACTGTAACAAGTACGCTGCCTACAACAACTACACAGCACCCATCTACGGTGAAAACTACACAACAACCGTCTACGGTAAAGACTACAAAGTCTCAAACTACGTTCCTAACTACACAGCCTATATCTACGAAGAAAACAACTCTGTCTACATCTACGATGGAAACTACACAGCCTACATCTACAGTGGAAACTACACAGCCTACATCTACAGTGGAAACTACACAGGAGCAATCTACAGTGAAAACTACACAGGAGCCATCTACGGCGAAAATTACACAGGAGCCATCTACGGTAAGACTACAAACTCGCAAACTACGTAAAAACTACACAGCCCACATCTACAGAGAAAAGTACACAATCTACATCCACGATGGAAACTACACAGCCAACAACCATATTGAAAACAACCCTACATCCAACTACACAGCTGTCTTCAACGATGAAAACTACACATGTACAGTCAACAGTGAAAACTACAAAGCCTCCAACCACATTGAAAACGGTTCAGGAACAATGGAAACAACGCAGCCTCAATCTACTGTAAAAAACTACACAACCTCCATCAACAGTGATAACCACACAGCCTACATTCACCATAAAAAACCTACGTCTGAATCTACGGTAGTAACAACACAACCTACAACTACGGAGAAAACTACACATCTGTCATCGACGGTAAAAACAACACAGTCTGCAACTACGGTCGAAACTACACAGCTGCCATCTACGGTCAAAACTACACAGCTGCCATCTACGGTAAAAACTACACAGCTGCCATCTACGGCAAAACAACGCAGTCTCCAACTACGATCGGAACTACACATCCGCCATCAACGATCAAAACTACAGAGATGCCATCTACAGTCAAAACTACATATCTGCCATCTACGATCAAAACCACCCAGGCGCCAACAACTACAGAGATGCCATCGACAGTGAAAAGTACAGAGCTGACATCTACAATCAAAACTACACAGCCGGCATCTACGCTAAAGACTACAGAGGCTGCATCTACGGTCAAAACTACAGAATTGCCATCTACAGTCCAAACAACACAGGCGCCAACGACGGTGATAACTACATCTACGGTCAAAACTACACAATCTTCGTCTACAGTCGGAACTACACAGGCGCCATCGACGGTCAAAACAACACATGCACCATCGACAGTCAAAACTACACTGCTGACATCTACAGTCAAATCTACAGAGCCTACATCTAGCGTAAAGACTACGGAGTCTGTATCTACGATCAAAACTACAGAGCTGCCATCTACGGTCAAAACTACAGAGCTGCCCTCTACGATCAAAACTACAGAGCTGCCATCTACGGTCAAAACTACAGAGCTGCCCTCTACGGTCAAACTACAGAGCTGCCATCTACGGTCAAAACTACAGAGCTGCCCTCTACGATCAAAACTACAGAGATGCCATCTACGGTCAAAACTACAGAGCTGCCATCTACGGTCAAAACTACAGAGCTGCCCTCTACGGTCAAAACTACAGAGCTGCCCTCTACGATCAAAACTACAGAGATGCCATCTACGGTCAAAACTACAGAGCTGCCCTCTACGGTCAAAACTACAGAGCTGCCATCTACGGTAAAAACTACAGAGCTGCCCTCTACGATCAAAACTACAAAGCTACCATCTACGGTAAAAACTACAGAGCTGCCCTCTACGATCAAAACTACAAAGCTACCATCTACGGTCAAAACTACACAGCCGGCATCTACAGTAAAGACTACAGAGGCTGCATCTACGGTAAAAACTACAGAGATACAATCTACGGTTAAAACTACAGAGCTGCCATCTACGGTCAAAACTACAGAATTGCCATCTACGGTTGAAACAACACAGGCACCAACGACGATGATAACTACATCTACGGTTAAGACTACACAGGCGCCAACTACGCTCAAAACTACACAGTCTACATCTACGGTCAAAACTACACAGGCGTCATCTACGGTAAAAACTACACAGGCGCCAACGACAGTGAAAACTACACAGTCGCCATCTACGGTCAAAACTACACTGCTGACATCTACCGTCGAAAGCACAGAGCCGACATCTACCATTGAGACTACGGTTAAGACTACACAGTCTACGTCTACGGTCAAAACAACACATGCACCGTCGACAGACAAAGCTACACAGCTGACATCTACGGTCAAAACTACAGAGACCCCATCGACTATCAAGACTACACAGTCGCCATCGACGGTCAAAACTACACATGTACCATCTACGATCAAAACTACACAGTCTACATCTACGTTGAAAACTACAGAGGCACCATCTACGCTCAAAACTACACATCTCGCATCTACGATCGAAACAACAGAGCTGCCCTCTACGGTCAAAACAACATATGCACCAACGACGGTCAAAACTACACAGCGGCCATCTACGATCCAAACTACACAGGCGCCATCGACGGTAAAAACTACACAGGCGCCATCGACGGTAAAAACTACACAGGCGCCATCGACGGTAAAAACTACACAGACGCCATCGACGGTGAAAACTACACAAACACAAACAACGGTCAAAACTACACAGGCCCAATCTACGGTCAAAACTACACAGCTTCCATCTACGATCGAAACAACACAGGCGCCAACGACTGTCAAAACTACACAGTCGCCATCTACGGTGAAAACTACACAGGCGCCAACGACTGTAAAAACTACACAGGCGCAAACAACGGTCAAAACTACAGAGCTTCCATCTACGGTCAAAACAACACATGCGCCAACGACGGTCAAAACTACACAGTCTACATCTACCGTCGAAACTACACAGCGGCCATCTACGATAAAAACTACACAGTCGCCAACGACTGTAAAAACTACACAGGCGCCAACGACTGTAAAAACTACACAGGCGCAAACAACTGTCAAAACTACACAGGCCCAATCTACGGTCAAAACTACACAGGCCCAATCTACGAGCACTACAGAGCTGCCATCTACGGTCAAAACAACACATGCGCCAACGACGATCAAAACTACACAGTCTACATCTACTGTCGAAACTACACAGCGGCCATCTACGGTACAAACAACACTGTCGCCATCAACGGTGAAAACTACAGAGCTGCCAACGACTGTAAAAACAACACAGTCGCCATCAACGGTCAAAACTACACAGGCGCCAACGACGCTTAAAACAACACAGTCGCCATCAACGGTCAAAACTACAGAGCAGCCAACGACGCTTAAAACAACACAGTCGCCATCAACTGTCAAAACTACAGAGCTGCCAACGACGCTTAAAACAACACAGTCGCCATCAACGGTCAAAACTACAGAGCAGCCAACGACGCTTAAAACAACACAGTCGCCATCAACGGTCAAAACTACAGAGCTGCCAACGACGCTTAAAACAACACAGTCGCCATCAACGGTCAAAACTACAGAGCTGCCAACGACGCTTAAAACAACACAGTCGCCATCAACTGTCAAAACTACACAGCTTACATCTACGCTCAAAACCACACAGCTGCCATCGACGGCCAAAACCACGGTTCAAATGCCTGTCATTACATCTGTTTTAACAACAACAAAGGACATCACATTCCTGACGACACTTTCATCTACAACGAAGGAACATACGACAACTCCTCCACAAGAAAATACAACCATTGCAGTGGCGTCGACACCAACACCAACTCTGTCATCGACACGACAAATTACAACAACGATGTCAACAGCTCCGCGACTTTGTAATTCAGGTTGTAGTCAATATGCAGACTTCCTGTCCAACGGCACATGTCTTTGCAGAGAAGGGTTTTCCGGAAACGGTTCCACCTGCGAACTTGGTAAGAATTCTACTATTATTATATGATAATATGATACATGTTTTTCTTATATTCCTTACATCAGGACGTGACTTAATTTTTTCTGGCAAGATGACTTTTGTTAGGTTCACACGTATTAGCGGAGAATTGTACTGAACTGAAGTTTAATTAAATCGACTTTAACGTTCCAGAAAGTTGCAGTTATATGAAGCGTTTTGTGTTCATATAAACAAATTATACGTTTAGCATTTTGGTATATCTTTAAGCTGGATCACGATTTGAACTACGCATAGGCAGTATGAGACATTGTGGGTGATATGTCAAAAGTTTTTTTTCCCGAGACAAATAAACAAAACACGCATGGACATGTATTAAGCATCTAGAAGGAACTGTTTAGAAGTTAGGGGCACTCAACATTGATCTTGCCAATGCGCAGTGCGAATCGTGAACCAGCTTATTGCTTTCTAGTTTCCAGCGGCTTCTCCCAGAGCATCACCTTCACCGGGCTGGCGTACAGAGCTGCTCTGGCGGACTGCTCGTCTGAAGATTACATTTCTACAAAGGCGCAAATAGAAAACACGGTGGGTGTTGATCTTTGTCATTGTTTTAGACGAATTTGGGAAACTTGGTCAATGAAGAACAAGAGTAGCAGAAGTAACTATTTTTTTTTATTTTTTATTCCAACATTTAAGGACTAGACATGGTGATAGCACACTCAAGTTATATCAACTAATTTTATGCCGCCACCAACGCAGAGGACGATTACAGGACAAGATAATACTCATTTTCACCTGGGTTAAGCTAGGAAAGTCGTGTAAAGTGCCTTTTCCAAGGGCACAAGATCGGTGGCATGTCAGGACTCGAACCCGGGACCTCTTGGTTCCAAGTCGAGCACGCTGCCTCTACGCCACACGACCCCACAAGAAATAAATTTATACACATTATAACCTGTCTTTTTTGTTCTTTAGATCACTGAAATCTACTCCGAAAGTACCGTCGCTGATCACATCTACTCGATCACGATAAACTCCTTCCGGAGCGGTAGCCTTGTCGTAGACGCCACCATCCTAACTGACGCAGCGGCTAACCTGACCTACGGCGTCCTGGAGCGAGCCTTTCTGGAGTCTCTTGAGATCAACCTGGATGTCACCACCACAGGTGCTAATTACTACCCTCTCATTGGTCAAACCACTAATTGGCAAGCATTCATTGGTTGGTTGGTTGAACTGCTAATTGTGATGGACTGGACAGGTCTATGGCAGAAGCATACATGTAGTTTGTGTAAACAAAACTTACGTTCGATCAATATATGACGACAAAATGTCGAAATAACACATTTTTAAAATCATTCAAAATTGCCAGTGTGTCTAGGAGATAACCCATCTATCCCATAAAAATTTTACAATAAAACATCATGGGATAATCTGAGGACTCGTGTATTTACAGAGCTTTGCTACAGAGGTTACTGCCTGAATGGCGGTGAATGTTCAGTCGTCAACAAGTCAAGGACCTGCACGTAAGTAATGTCCTTGTGAAAAAGCACATCTTCCTTTCCCCTAATTTCGATTTTATTATTCAAAAACTACAGCTTTGATCACTCAGTGAACAGTGTTTTCCGTTTTCCGAGTTCTTAAAAATGCCAAGAGGGGACAATAAATATCGTTAGATATATTAGCAATATCTTTACAAAAATATCTAAATGAGAAAAAATCGCTAGTAGATGCACAGCACTTATAAGAACACTAAAAGAAATAGTCTTGATTATATTTACACTTCAATTTCTTACTTTCATGATGTATTATATTATACCTAATACATTTTTCTACTCCAGATGTCCTTCATCCCACACGGGTGACCGGTGCGAAACTGTTATCGTAGGTAAGTCACAACCGTCACATGTCCATCCATATTTAACGTTTTATCTCAACGGGAAATCTATTATACCATGCCGGTTGTCCCTTGCTGGCTTCAAGGTTTGTAGAACACCCGTAAAGCGTCATTAACTTGCAATGTAACGTTAGAGGGAAATCGTAGCAATCCCGCGAAGCTGGGTGTCAAATTCCGCCAGGCGATGTCCTTGGTGCTGAAATAGGGATCTGTTACAACCTACTGCAATGGACCTATACCTTTATTACGTCACAGTTTGTTTACCTGTTCTAAAGAATATTCTAGAACGGTCAGTTAAAGAATGAAGATCATTTCAAAGTTTTCAAAGTAAGGTATGTCTGATTTTTGCTGCGTCTAGTTGTGTTGACACAGCATTACATGCCGCATGGGTGATTTAGTTGTGACATTAGACGAAAGTAGTACTGTATTAAAAGCCTTATATTACGGCTAACGCTACACAAACACACACCGCGCTACGCACCCCTGTACAATATTAACGACGATTGACCGGCATTCATTGCGGTAAACAAACTGTGACGTAATAATGGTAAAGGTCCATTCCCAACAAAATGGCAACATTAGAACCAAATTTTCAACTTATCAATAGATCTAGCACAAGTATATGACAAAAAATGAGCAAGGCACATGATTAGATAAGAATAGGATCATAAGTGGCAGGAAGTATATGGCGACCCCCGTCTCGGTTGAAGGATGACTGTAAGGACTTGATGTGACCTCAGTCACTCCTGCAAAAATGTTCTCTCCAGAGTGTTGGGAAAAGGGTATATTTGAACAAGTAGTTTATCTATTTATTAATTCATCCTATGTCCTCCTTGATGTCAGACGGCGAGTTTGGCCAGTGGAGTGGTTGGAGCCACTGCCTGTCCACGTGTGGAGAAGGATCACGCATGCGTACTCGAGAGTGTGACAGCCCGCCTCCAAGCGCCGGTGGACGGTACTGCAGTGGAGTGTCGGTGGAATTCCAACCCTGTGACCTGCCACCTTGTACAGATGGACGTATGTACTATCTTTTAAATTAAGTCAGTATACGTAATAAGATGAGGTCAAATCAACAAATGTTTTCATGATTTTGAGGAAGCCTTGGTACCTGTATAGTCTAGACAGATACAGTGCACTCCTCCCCTGTGTGTATAGTGAACGAGCCCCGGAGTCACAGAAAATATGGCATCCGGGGCAGAGAGGTCTTCCCAAGGGTTTCCAGGAATGTGTGTCTGCAAACAGAGCTGGAAAACATATCTGTGGACATTCCACGTCCGTGGACAAAATACCTGTACAATTCCTAGAATTCTTGCAAATTGCACACAATACTGTACCATTAGGCTCCTCCCTGAGACGTTGCCAAAAACCTTCTCTTGTCCGTTGTTGCTGCAGACATTGACTGGTGCGATCCTGAAGACGACCGGTGCAGCCAGTCCACGGGGGCCGGAAACTGTTTTCTAGACTTCCCGGACTACGACTGTTACTGTAACCATGGTTACGAGATGATCCACAGTAACAATGGCACCACGTTCGTCAGATGCCAAGGTAGGACGTGACATTCTTCCGCCATGTTTGTGGATTTTTAAATCTGAAGAATAGATTGATGACTTATGGTTCTCATAATTGTATGCTGTTTAACTTTAAGGCGATTTCAGAGCAAAACTGGAAATATTCTGAATAAGGCAATCTTTATGATATTGACACATACTACCCCACATCAACATTTAAAATTGCAGAAACATGGCGCAAGTTGAGTCTTTTATTTTATGGGTAGTGCCCTAAAAATCAGCCCAGGGCCCTTCTATTAACCATTTTCCGTCAGAATTTTGGGTATATTTGTTCCAATAGGGTCAAAATACATTGGGACAGTGTGGTTTTAACTCTGTATGTAGATAAATGACTAGAATATTGACTTTGAAAAAGTGGGTTTCCAAGCCCTTAAACTGCATTGAATGCCTTTATAGGCCTAGACATAGAGCTAAACCATTTTGGTACTATTTCTCTTCATAGACATAGATGAATGTGCGGAAGGAATGAACGACTGTCACCCCACACTGGCGACATGCACCAACACACTGGGTAACTTCACCTGCCAGTGCAGGCCTGGGTATGAAGGAGACGGGATTACATGTGAAGGTTAGTAATAGATAAATAAAGTTTATTGCAAATTCCTGCCGGCACTAAGGCTAATTGCAAATATCGTGTGTGGGGTCGTGTGGCGTAACGACAGAGAGTTCGGCTCGGAATCGAGAGGTCCAGGGTTCGAGTCTTGACATGCCACCGATCTTGTGCCCTTGGGAAAGGCACTTAAGCTTTACACGACTTTCCTCACTTCGCCCAGGTGAAAATGTGTATTGTATAAATGTCTCCTGTGTTGGTGACGACATTAATATAAGTTGAAAAAAACCTGAGTGTACCGTCACTATGCCGTGTGATTACATGTTGGAATAAAAAATAATAATAACATGGTTAAAACGTTAAAAGAATAGTGAAGCAGGGTATAAAATACTAGTAACTATAAAAGTGGATAATCTACATGGTAAAAGATAATTGTCTGGAACTATATCTGAAGGGATTGTCTTCTCGTAGTACTTCCAGAATAAACTCACTACTTACGGAAGTATTGTTTTGGGTGGCTGAGCAGCGGGTCTGTACTGTGTAACTGTTAGTCTGGACAGGCAGCACGTGGGTTGGGGCAACATTGTAAGGCATAATCACAGGCACTCAAAAGGGAATGGATTGAGCGTGAAGACCAGTGTCTCTGAATGAATACTAAAAGATAGATCTCAGTACAAAATGCAGTTCGATAGTTTTCAATGTTGGGCGATGTCCAAATGTCCCAATATACACTGTATACACAAACAGATTTTATTTCTTGTTTATTCTTTTTTATTCTGAGTACTCTGAGTGCCTTTTCTTTGTTTCTTTTTTTTTAAGATATTGACGAATGTCGGGCACTGTCAGACACCAACTGTGATGTGCATGCGTCCTGTGAGAATCAAGATGGCGGCTACACCTGCACCTGTAACCTTGGATACAGCAGTACGGCTGCGCAGGGAACCGGGTTTGTGGGAGAGTGCAAAGGTCAGATATTACACAAGAAGATATCCAAAATTAAGATTTAAGTTTATGACAGAAATACACTGTTTAGTGATGTGTTGTGAGTCATTAAATGTGTTTTTCAAATCAAAATGAAGTATTCTTCGATGATCCTACCTTCAACAATACAGTACACATAGACAATACAGTAGACATAATTTAATTGACGCAAGGAGGTTAAATACAAGTATTTAACCTCCTTGATTGACGTAACATCTAACGTGGATAAATGTAATGTGGACATGTTACAGTTTGGTGTCAGGTGCCATAAGCACTTAAAGGGGATTCGGTAAATAAAAGATAAGAAGAAAGGAAAAATTACTTGGGCCCTTGGTCCCCTGTTGGGCATAGACCACCGATGACCGTTCTCCTGCCAACTTTAGGTATTACTATTTGTTGGTTATTCAGTTATAATGTATGATGATTATGCCCTAGGTAAGTATGATAATAGCTAAAATATTAAACACTCAAATCAAATTATTGGCATTGACGAAATTTAATCCAACTTTTCATGCAATGTAACGAAAGAACAATCAGAAACAAAGATATTTGAAATAAAAACATCTTTCTTTCACACCTGTAGAGGACCGTCTGTTCCCTTTCGGCGAGGCCATGAACGACACTTTGCTGACGGTCCTGCCGGAAGACGCGGGCGAGTCCATCTCTCCTCCCATCAACATACCATATGGACTGCCTGTTCCGGGGGGACTCTGCAATGACATATGCGTAAGTCTCTAAGTTTCTAGTATGTGTCAATCAATGTGTCAATCAATTTGGCATCTCTTTAGTAAGTCTCTGTTTTTTGCTCAGTTTCCTCCTCTTCTTCTCCAAACAAATAAGGTCAATGACCTGAACCAGACGTCTATCCCCATGGTAACCAATGTTGGGTTACAACATGTTGCAAGTTTATAGCAGGAGTGATTTAGATTCCACTCACCATATATATGAGTATGTGTGAATATGTGTGAACAGAGCAGACCATATGCAAAGGTAAACATTATCCACTTGCTTTGCAAATGTTACCTTATTCTAGTTCTGCTACTTTTCTTATGGTTGTTGATATGAACTTGGTTCGGGTTATTAAGCCGAAATTATGGTTATCATATAGTGATCATAGAACGTCATGAGTCAGAGGTTTTCAACAACAAACCGATGCTATAAGACCGCCCACTTCCGTTAAAACGTAGAATTGAAAAATATGAAAAAATGCCAATATTTGTTGGATACGCTTTACCATGATTGGTCTAACCACTAATTGCCATACCACCATTGGTTGAACTTCCAATTGTGATTAAGACATTCAGGATCGGTTTTTAGGAGCTAACCAATCAAATGACTCTATATTCCAGGTCACGGAAAATGGCATCGTGATCGCAACTAACGGAAAGGACCACTTTAACATCCCGAGCCTGCGCAACCCCGGGCGGCTGGGAAATGTTCTGAGTCACAACAACACCGACATCTGCGCCATCTTTGCAGCGTTCTGGGCAAATAACCGCTTCCAACAGCTCTTAGCACGAATGAATCCAAAGGTAACCTACTAATGAATCCAAAGGTGCATTATATACTAAAGCCTAGTATGAATTGGACTATAGAGTAGTCTTTTTGATAATCATTGTCATAACTTGAGTGTCTCGTGTCTGTGTGGAATGTGTGGCACGTGGACCAGATGTGAGGAATGCGAGTTACCCGAATCGCGGTTCGGGTGGTTTCATATGAACAAGGCCTAAGTCGCAACTTTATTGATACGACTGGTTTCAATCGGTTGCAGGTGTGGTACCAGGCCTACACCAGTGACGACCGCGGCCTAATGACACTAGTTGACAACGCCGTCCGAAACGACGACCCGACGGCTGCCAACTTCACCGCGTCCTTCGTCTTCATCGCCACGTGGCAACGGATGGTCCCACCCTGGCTCTCGGATGGATCTGAGGTATAGAGCATATTGTTCAGCTGCTAGTTTTGTAAAATCATTGATCCACCTACCGGTAGTATGTTTATACATAGGAATGCAACGCCAAACCCAATCAAAGGTATTATGAACCTGCATTGTTTTCTTGCGGTGAGTGAAGTTACTTGACCGTCGACAAGTACATTTTTCACTTGCAAACGCTTCAGGGATTTCTCTGCTACCTCAAAATAATATGACCTGCGCTACTTCTTATCGCCACTAGGTGGCACTGTGAGAACGTGGTCCCACATGTGGGTACACTTGTATCCCCCTCATCTCGTTTCTTGTCTGAAATAGATTTTTTATCAGCTCCACTTTTATTAACTTTATTATCCTACAACCCATTAACCTGATGAAAGGAAACAAATTGTTATGCTTTGTTTTTAGGAAAACACGTTCCAGGCAGTTGTAGCCACGGACTACATACGCACCTACACCATGTACCGCTACAAAGACAGCCACATGACCTGGGTTCCAGTCTACCCTGTGGACGTCTACTACCTTGCCGGCTACCCCGCCATCATTGGGTATCTGGTGCGAACAGACAGCAACACTTACTTCATAGAAGACAGGAACTCTGGCTGGTGGAGTCGTAATGACGGAGACGTGAACGCGTATCGTGTGGACCAGAAGATCTGTGAGAGTACGGGAAAGAAGGGGCAGATTTTTCATCGGGTGGATCAAAACGGAGAGGATTACGTCAACGCCAAACTGGCTTGCGACGACTGGTTTAAGGTAGGAGTCTCCACTTCGAAGTCTAGGCTTTCTAGTAGATATTTCTTTTATACATATTACTGTACATATCATTGACAAGTTTGCTGTTTATGTTACATTGCATACACAGTCCATACGTACATATACATTGACTCCATCAAACACAAACACCCACAAGCGCACACACTTACACACACACACACACACACACCAACACGCACAAACACAAACACAAACACACACACACATACAACACACACACACACACACACACACAAACGATACGGTCAAACAAACACACACACACAAAGACAAAACAACCATCCACTCTTCGAATGTTTACTGTGTGTTGAGTTACGATTGACACAACCTGTCGTTTCACTTTAACCACAGGATGAGCCTGACGTGGAAGACTACGCGCCTGACGTAGTCGGCACGTGCCCGATGTACTACGCCCAGGCCATCGCAGAGACCGGCCGCTGGCTGCTCACATCTCAGAACCGGCAGGGGGCGTGCTTCACCAGGCCCTTCAGTCTCACCACAGGTTTGTTTTAGGACCCATTGCATAAGCTTGTTTTTTGTGGAATACATGGACAATTAACATGTAAGAAACATTCTTAGGCCACACCAGTTTGATTTGTTGGTTCTCGTTTTTTTTCAGGAAAAATATAAAGCAACAAAATTAAAAAAACAGAGCATTCTATAATAGTCCCAAATACTATGATAGGAGCCTTGAAGTCCGTCTACCAGGCTCGTTTGTAATTTAAACGATGAATTTTAAACTTATATTCAAACCACTGCATTGATTGACATGGAAAAACTTGTAATATCTCTGAAGACGTCCTTCAACTGTTGGGGGCAAAATATGGGCATTTTGGAGTTGATTCAGAGGCTGATTATTTTTGCAAATCAGAAAAAAATGAAGCGGGCCATTCTGTGAATCAACTAATTAAATTGGTGTGGTCTCATTGAAATAAGTTGTTGTTTTTTCATCCTCCTCAACTGAGGATTGATTTATTTGTATTTCTATGCCTATATTTCTACGCAGGAGGTAACTACGAGTGTTGTTACGACGCCATGGGCGCTCTGATCAACTCTCCCAGCAGGTTCAACTCCGGGGCTGGGTGCTTACATCGGTACGAAAAGGTAGGTTTAACCTCTTGGTTATGAGTTATCTCTAATTTTATGTTTTATGTTTTTTAGAAACATCCTTTCAGATATTTCTGATCCAGCGATGGTCAAAGTTGTCAAATATTGCACGCTATACTCATTTTATCAGCACCTGTGATGTGACTATTAAAGCACGCATATCATACATCGTTGAAATGGAGTTCAAAAATGTCTTGTGTGCCATTGGCCGGCCTTACTTTTTTTGTGCATCAACAGCTCCAGTGAACAACTGCAATACTCTTAAACCCTTGTTTGGGTAGACCTCCCTAGAAAAAGATAGGAGAATATTCTTGCCTGTCTATAGTGCTCAAATTATTTGTTCAGATGGATGATTTGTATTGTTTCATTAGTTCTTCGAATTGTTTCTGTTTATTTCCTGTTATTTTTCTCTTCTTTGTTTAGATTTTGTTTCGTTCAGTATCAATGGTAACTTTTAATCTTATAGTGTTGGGAAGAGCAATGTATAAACCTCCAGGTTTCTGGCCCTCCCATGCATGTCAAGTTATCTTCAATTGTGATTTTTCATTTTATCTTGTGAGTGCAAATAAACAAACAAAAAACAATTTTTTAGTGACTGGAGTAAAGAAATAAAATATGTGAAGTCCATTTCCCAGGGGCACTAACGACGGGCCTGCTAGGGTTTTGACCCTAGAACCTTTAGAATGCAGACTTAGATGCTAGGGCAACAAACCTAATCATAAGACCACCTTGCCGCCTTTCACATTGACAGGACATGAGCATAAACAGTAACTATTACCGGAGCGACTACCTCCCGAGGATCTGGTGCTGTAAGATGGCAGACGACAGCTCCTGTATCAAGTTCAAAAAGAAGAGACCAGTGGCGTCATCTGAACACTACACAAGGTCGCGTCTCGGTAAGTCATGGAGCGATGTTATTGTATGATCAGAATGGAGTCATCTAGCCATAGTTTTTGTATTTTAAATGAACACCTCACACACACAGGCAAACCTGTCCGTGGTGCTGAACACCTCCCACACACAGGCAAACCTGTCCTTGGTGCTGAACACCTCCCACACACAGGCAAACCTGTCCT